TGAAAAAAATGCAAAAATAATAAAAAAAACAAAGATGCTCACATTTTTTTTCAGATTTATTATATTGAAATTCCAAAGCTAAAAAAAAAAAAAAAAGTGGCTTTATTCCAGCGTTCATTCCAGAATTTCATCATAGAAACCTTCAATATTTGTATTTATAACTAATAACTACAATTAATAATTATAATTTGTAGGCCAAAGAATAGATAGCCATTAAATAGTTAATTATAATTGGTTCCGTTTGCAAACATAACTCAGTTTGACAAATGATAGGCATAAATGGTCAATGCCATTGTCATGATTAACAATCAATCAATATCAAAACTGGTTCAGCAAGATATACAATACCTGTGCAGCTTAGGTTAACCTAAAACTAAAGCTCCACAAAAATATTATATAATAAATAAACAACAACCAGTTTCAGCAAGCTATAATTTATAATATTATAAAATACCCAAATTAAAGTAGACTGTAATAGGGATCAACATTACAGTCATAGTAACAAGAAAAACAGCAGCATCATATTATACTTAAAAACCGCATGAGCCTATTTAAGAAATGTCTTTAAGTTGTCAATTATGTTGCAAGGTGTATCATTTTGCTAAGTCCTAAGTCTCATAATGCTTCTCTTTATGCAGCACTTTTTTTTACTTTCTTTAACTTTCTAATTTTAGTTTAAGTGTAGGCCTACCCTTTATTTTATGTTAGGATTCAGGAATAAAATAGTGGCGGATCTGATTCTATTGTAAAATCCAGAATTTCATTGTAGAAACATTCAAATTTGTATTGAAAGCTATAAAGTGTAATTTGTTGTAGAAATAATTGGTAGCTATTACAAAGTTAATTCTTTTTCCGCGATCATGATTTGAACTTCCAGTCATGACTTACCATTTTCATTTTAACAATGTCATGATATCCTGAAAGTTAGAGCCAGAATAAATATTATTTGTTAAAAAAAGGCTGACTGGCCTTGGTACTACAACTTAAGTAGCCTAATAGATGTTGTATTTATTGTATGGTAGTATTGGCCCCATCCATTGGCCTGTCTATGGTTGTATGAATATTTTCGTTTCATTATTTTAAAATTAAACTTTGTTTTCCTGCTACCAGTAACGCAAAATGAAATTTAATAGGCATACAGAATGCTTAATAACTTCTTCTTCTCTTCTTATATTTGAGGGGCCCACTATCAATTTGTTGATCATTCTGGCTCCTGGTTTTAATTCAGAGTTAGCCTTCTCTTAGATGGGTTGCCGTCCAAGGCTAACGAGTCCCATCCACCCGGGGTGCTTGGGATGGCTTTGATGGGGATTGAACTCCGGACCAACGGCTATTTAGTTTGAGACAGTTTAGACCGCTCGGCCACCCAGCACTTAATTTTTAACCCATAATTTTTATACACTACTAATATTTTCATTAGACTTGACTTATTTTTTATTTTAAAATCACCTGCAATAAAGACAAATAGAATTAGCCAGCTATGAGAATGTGTTATGAAGACTTGTATACATTGAACATGCACTTACTAGTGATTTTAGAAAAGAAAAAATAGAGCTGATTGTCGGAGTTGTTACCATTGCCATTTTACCATATTAACCCTCTCATTTTTCCAGCCTGGTAATAGATGTTCTGAAAGGTGTAGATCCATCACGCAAGTGTTACCGAATGATAGGGGGTGTGCTAGTTGAAAGGACAGTAGATGTTGTTTTACCAGGTCTTGCCACAAACAGAGAAAAGGTATTTGGTCTACACATCATATATTAAGTTCTATTCCAATTGCTCAAATATCTGCTCGTAGTATTTGTAGACAGGTATGAAATTTATTATCTGGTTGCTGGTTGACACTCAGTAAGAAATAATACAAGTATTTTCACAGTCTGGGGTTCAAATCCCAGGATTAACGGGCCACCCTTGGTGCTGAGGTTGATCGACTGCAAAGAAACATGGTGCTTTGTTATCCATGTACATGTTTTATTTACTTTTACATAAACCTTTAATTATAATTTTAGTTGTTGCTTTCGTGAAATGTACTTGTTAGAATTTAACATAGGACGCCTGGAGAAAACATGTATTCAGCAGGGGCGCGTGAATTTTAGGATTTTATTAACCACCAGCATAGCCAAACACAATAGTTGTGTCATCCTCACAGAAACATAAAAAAGAGAGTGGTGGGCTTAAATATTAATGTTTTTCTTGCAATGCCTAGCAAGTTTTTATTGGGGAGATACAGGGTCAGAAAATCAGGTTAATTATTGTAGAATATGTGTATAAATATATGTACACATTCTGCCAACCCCCCCCCCCCCCCCCCCCCCCCCGGGTGGGCATACACTTATATAAGAGTACAAAAAAATCTCCTAAATTTGCACCTCCACCCTTGGTGCATATGTAATATAGGGATTACCCAAATCTAAAATGTCGTTGCACTCTCTATGAAAACAGGATAAGATTCCTATGTAATTATCTAATAACTCTATATCTACAATCACAAGCAAATGAAATAGCTTAAGTTGTTAATTATAAATATTATAACATGCCAAACCCCCTATGCACATTTTTACTTTAGAAGAAACGTGAAATCGTCTGAAAAATAATTTAGGTCTTGCAATATACATCATTTTAATCTGCACTTTCTCAATTCTTTTTTTTTCCCTACAGATGAAAGAATACATAGAATCCTTACGCAATAGTTTAGAAGCAAAAGGTAAAGAACTGAACCAGTTCAGAGAGACCCATGGCATTCAGATCAAAGCTGATGACAGCAGAGATGAAAAGCAAGCAGACACAGCATCAAAAGGTGGTGATCGGCAAGCAAATATTTTAGCTAATGTTTAACCACTTTCTTAAATATAGTGTTTGGTATTTTTAAGAAAGAAAAACTTAATAGCAGGATAAGATTTTTATTTTCCAACTTGTTTCTTTCAAATTTCTCAAATTTTTTTGCTTTATGCTTTTAGCAAGTTATTAAAAGTTTGATATATCGTTACTCAAATGGATATTTGTGTATATTTTTGGCTGATCATTAAATACTCTTTCAAGAAATATTTCTCAATGCATCCATTTTATTCCTATCCCATAAAACCACTGAAGAATAACTTACATTTTGGATAATGATTTTAGCCTGCCACATTATCTGCTCTTGACTTATAACATAAATATTGTTTTGGCATTGGTTAAGTTCTGCTTTTATAAGATAATGATAGTTTTGTTATCAAACTCATGAAGCATATTAGCCTCAACATGGAATGAAAGCAAATGCATTGTGTTCATCATCAAATTGAGTGTAAATGTGAAGTTCAATTGTGATCAGTAAATATGTCACTTTTTTATAGCTTGATGTGAGCTTAAAAATTACTTTCAGAGTTTGGTGAACAAAGTCATTATGTATAGCAAAGTATTGATTGTAACATTATGTGATCCAGCCAGAACATTGATCTGAGCTGCAATCTCAACATTTCCTGTTAAATCAGAGCTACTGAATACATAAGAATTGCCCCTGAGACAGAGTTGTTTTTTTCAAAATACCCCATTTGTACATAAATTTCATTACCACTGTAAAGATTTACACAAAAACTTTTTGGCTTTGTAATTAAAGTGGAATGATGAAAATTTTGCTGTGTTTATTATTATATTAATTATTAATAACTGTAGAAGTGTGAGCATAAAGTTAAAATGAATAGTTCTCTGTACTATGGCTTTTTAAAGTTGGTTTCTGGAAAGCAATTTTTTGCAAATTTTGTCAAAGCAGCTTTTGACATTTAACGATGATGATTTACAAATGGGGCCCCTTTTCTCTCACTAAGTGCGAAATAAACACACAGCCCAAGTTAACAAGACCAAATTTTAGGCAAGTTTCTGTTTCAATAGCATCATTCCTATCAAAATTAATAATCCTTTTCTTTTTTTTTTTACATGTAGAACAGTTGACTAAAGCACATTATTCAATCATCATCCATACATACAAAATTAAAATAATAAATCTTTGTCACTTCAGCTATGAAATCTAATTTTAATTTTAAATATCACCAAGCAGAATCACACATGTCTGAGTACAAGTACACTATAAACAAGACATAACAAACTCCACTTTGAAATATGCCCATAATCATAAAGGATAGTACCATACATAACGTTTGCACAGTCTAACAATGCAAACACATCAGTAATCTTTGGCACTTTGCTAAATCAGTGCTTACACTTTTGTTTTAACTTAATTTTTTTTTAATGTTTTTAGTTGAAAATAAAAAATATAAAAAAATTTAACAATTTTGCTCTGAATGAAAGGTTATAACATTTCATTTTTAAACAGTCTAGCCATTAAAAAAATGTTTTAGGACAGTCTACTATTTATACAGTATTGGTACCATACTTTATTTAATAAATGATTCAAATCATCAGTTTATAACTGTCTCACTCTGTAGAATCATGGCAGTTTTTTTTTTTAAACATAAAAAAATTGTACATGAGACTTCAAATAACTTGGCAGTGTATTGCACAGCATAAACAAATGTACCAATATTAGTGAACAGACAGACAAATCAATTAAAATGCATTGTGTTGATGCAACATATATTGTAGGGGAATATTTCTATTGCATCACAACTTATTTCATTCTGCTTCTAAATTATAACAAATGTACATTGATAGATCAGTGTTTAATTCTGATTAATATGAGAAGGCAGTTCCCATCACCAATATTCCTTCTAGGATGCCACAAGAATGGAAATGTTTCATCATTTTTAACAACGTCAGTTTCTAAACCAAAAAAAAAAAAAAAAAATTATATTTACATCTGGCCATGAAGGAACATTATTTTAGCAACATAATAAAAACTCAATAAAATTTTTAGGATCACATCTTCTAGGATGCCACAAGAAAGGAAATGTTTAATCATTTTTAACAACGTCAATTTCTAACCCAAAAAAAAAAAAAAAAAATTATATTTACATCTGGCCATGAAGGAACATTATTTTAGCAACATAATAAAAACTCAATAAAATTTTTAGGATCACACTTTAATAAAATATTCATTTGTTTATTATATTCATTTGATTATCGATCCTTCATTCATTTCATTACAAATAATAAAAAATAAAAGTGTTCCCCATTTTTTAAAATCTGGGGTCAGCAACCTTTTCTTAATATTGGGCTATAGTAGGATTTCTAATTCACTCAGCGGGCGCATCAACAACCAACCTTTTAGTCTAACAAGGCACTGGGTGGCAGAGTGGTTTGAACTGAGTCAATCCCAAGCTTGTGGACTGGACTTCAATCCCCAGCCTAGACAATCAAAAACAACAGCAGCACCCCAGGTAGATAGATGGGACTCATTAACCCTGGAAAGCAACTCATCAAAGAGAGGGCAAACTCTGAATTAAAACCTGGAGATGGAGTCCCGTAGGCTCTATGATATTGACACAATGAAAATTCCTGCCAATGTTGAATGCATAAAGAGCATAGTGAGACACAAACACGCAGGTCATCTGCTGCATCCTGGTCTTTTTCCAGTCGTCTTGACTCAAGCACAAATAGGCAAGAACGAGAGAGGGAGGCTGACAAATTGAGCAACTCTCCCTCACTTTAAACAAAACAAAGCTGAAGTCAAGACTACTACTCAAGTCGAAAATTGCCTTGCGAAGGACAAACAAAATAAATAGACACCTTTTTGCCACTTATTATTATATTTTTCGTCTCCCCCTGCCATTGAAAATCTTGGGTCTAATATGCCCTAGGTTGCAGACCCTTGGTTTAAATAATAAACACAGTAGCATAAAAATAGGTCATTTTTATTTGGAAAGGATATTAAAATAATGCTGAAAAATAGCATCAGAGTTAAATGAATTAATTTCATTAAATTAAAATGGTACCCTTATAAAATATTTTCTTTTAGAATAAAGAGAAACGTAATGTATCTATACAATTAACCCCCCCCCCCCAAATTATATATTCATTGAGGGTGGTTGCATAATTTGCCCCATAAATCTGTCTGAATTCTAATGAACCATTCTTAACCAAAATATCCTAATATATATTTTAATAAAATTAAAATGGTACCCTTATAAAATATTTTCTTTAAGAATAAAAAGAAACTTAATGTATCTATCAAATTAACCCCCCCCCCAAATTATATATTCATTGAGGGTGGTTGCATAATTTGCCCCATAAATCTGTCTGAATTCTAATGAAACATTCTTAACCAAAATATCCTAATATATAATTGTTATTATATAATAGTCCAACTTGTTTTTTCAAACCATCATTCAATAACATTGATTGGGTGATATTCATATTTATAGGGAAAAAAAGGTATGCTTAGATAACCAAAATCGTAACTATCAAAAGCTGAGAAAAATATGTTTCTCAGTTAATGTCAACCTTAATTTTAACAAGTTTCAAAAAGGATTTTACTTGATTTCCTAGTTATAGATCAATATGTATGTACACAATTTATGAAAATTAAGACACAAAGATTAAGATCATACATTTTCCGACAACATTATGAAAACTGAACTCACTGTAATCTCACTAATGATCACCCTACATTCTTAACTCATTGATTTGAATGGTTTTGTTCCACAAAAACTGCAGTAACCGGGGACACAACCAGCACAAGAGAAATGAGATCAAATTTTTTTTAAATATATTTTTTAATTGAATCACATTGCATATGAGACTAAACTAAAAGGAAAAACCTTTTTAAGAATTTCCTATTTTTATTGGTTATGCTATGAACCTTCAGACAAAAATAACAATTTTTAAAAAATAGATGCCTATGAACCTTCAAGTGAGCGCAGCATTTCCCAAACTTTTAAGTTTGGCGGGCCAGCGGACAAGTTTCCACCTTGCACTAGGGATCGATGCCATATTTATTAATTACACTTTTTATTTTTATTTAACAATAAATATTTATGCTCTGCAGACCGGCTATGTCAGACTTATGGACTGGTGATGGTCTGTTGACCACAGTTTGGGGAATGCTATTTACCTATTCTCCAGTGAAAATGTAAACATTTTGAAAAGTTGGAATTGTCTAAGTTTGAAAATGAAATTTTAACTACATACTATATCAAATGGGTTTAAAATGTCATTAAAAAAGTTTGGGATATCAAGTGACAAAGGCTTTCTCCTCTGAAATTCACAAGCAATATACATTCAGAAATATAATTTGAAAGATAATATTCCTTCGAAAATAACATCTAAGACTAGAAGCTGGTCACCTCACTTTAAGGAATTTGATATCAGGGAGATTTCTTTGTATCACAAAGAAAGTACATCATGTCATGTTGCATTTATCACAATAAAACGCTAAGATTCTTAGGTTTTTCATTGAAGAGAACCTATTGTTAACAATAATAATTATTATTGTTAAAATAGTTAACTAAACAAAAAGTTGGCACTCCCTTATCAGTGATGGAATTATAATTATGTCATGAACAAATTCTATCATTTTGTTACAATTATTACTTCTTAAATTGTACCTAATTTAAGCTACTGGTGTAACCAAGGGAGCTCGCTGGTTCACCCGATGACATGGCTCTGTTGGATTGCTCCTGTTTTTTCTTCTCGTGCTCCTTAATGATCTCTTCTTTTGAAGTGGCTTTTGCCTTGGACAAAATAGCATCCGCTCCTTGGGCAATCACTCCATCTGCTAGTATTTCTCCTGCCATCCAGGCTGATGTGTATTCATTTTTCCTACTGGGTGTTTGGCAGTGGATACCCACAAAAGCATGTTGAGATGGAATCTTAGAAGAAAAAACAAATGGATATTTAAAAGCAAGAACTTTTAGATACTCCTGGTAAAAATATTATTACCGATAATGAAAAATATCAAAAGAATAATTATACTGTATACGAAATTTTAATTAATAATCAGTGTACCATATTAGAGAATTAAATAAAATGCAGTCCAAAAATGTTTATCTGTCTTGAAACAATATGAAATTTAACAAAAATTTACAAATTTAATGACTAAAGATACCACAGAATTTGAAATTAAATTTAATATTTTCTGATCCCATTAAATTTATGTGATTTCAAAGTAAAAATAATCTCAACTTGTTTATCATTTGAGATAATACTAATAATGCAACACATTGAAGAAGGGGGCCATCTGTAACTTACTGGGACATTTGGAAATCTCAGGTCAGTAACAACTGTGTGCTGAACAGCTTCACTGCCATCAATGCTAAAAACACCTCCTCGAATACTCATCTGTTAGGAAAAGACATAGATAATCTATAGCTTTGGCTTACAGTCTCCAAAGGAACAAATGAATGTTATAAAAATTTTCACAGCCTACAAATTGAAAGGATGATACCGGCACATGAAGAATAGTTAGATAACAAGAAGAAAAAAAATATCTTGATCATTTTCCAGTAGCAGATTATTTCACTCCCGATTACCAATCAATATTTAGCCAAGTGCATTTTTTTTGTGGACAAAACATGCTTGCAAATAAAGCATTTTATAAGAATCCCAATTAGTGCCCCCCCCCCCCCCCCTCTCAGACGCACATTTTTTTTCACACCCGAGAAATCAGTGTCATCATATTTCCTTCATCTTCCCCTTGAAAAACAGGGAAAAACGATTTTTGAGAGTTACTGGTATCCGTATCCAGTATTGCCCAAAAATCAGTTCATTTCTGTTTTTCAAGGGGAAAATGAAGATCGATAGGTTGACTGGAAGTGGTCAATTAGCCGTCCGAAGATTTTGCCAGCCAGTCAGCTACGAAAAAAAAGCGAAGTTGATAAAAAAGATTTAAAAATGAGGAACACTACAAATTAGCAATGAAACTGGGTCTGTAGAAAGGTGTAATCCAAAAATGTTATGCCACAGAAACTAAGCTTTCTTTCAATAGATTTGTTGTCTGACAAGGCAAAAGAAGTATACCTCTCTACAGATCAAAGTTTGATTTCTAGTATTCCTTAGTTAATCACTGCTTCAGGCAGACAATATTTTTTTGTGGCCTTTATTCAAGCTCAACCGTGAGTTGGTTTTTAATTTTACTTTTTTTTCTGAAGAATGAGCAAAAAGAATTTTACTATTTAATGTCATATATCATACAAGTACTAAAGATGTTAAAGATGATTTTGCTTTAAGAATTCAGCTGTAAATTTAAAAAAAAAACTGAGTGGTGATACTTGTTATGGGCAGAAAAGTGTGTAAGACAGAGCTGCTATTCACACAACTTTACTTTGAAATTATGCTTTTTCTTTATTAAAGAATATGGCGCTGGTGACATCAAAACACATTGGATAACAAAACCATGTAAATTTCATTCAATGCACATAAATGAGACAACAAGAGTTGCAAGGTTGAACAATTTGATGAGAGCCCAATTAATTACCTCATAATCCGAGATTTCGGTAAATGCAGACACAGGAACACTGCATCCTCCTTCCTAAAATAGAAAGAAACAAAACAAACAAAATGATCAGAAACTTGCCCCTGAAGCACTGAGCCCAAAATATGCTAAATCTTTATCTTTAATTTCACACACATCGATACTTACCAGCTTCCTAAGAAAGGCTCTTTCGGCGATGCAAGCAATAGTTGAAAAGTGGTCATGGATTTTGTGTAGTAGCTGTAATGTTACTTCATCATCAGCTCGGCATTCAACTGCCATTGCGCCTTGAGATACAGCATACATACACTCATCTGGGGTCAGAACCTGCAATCGGCCATGCTGTATGGGTCAAATATGAATTCCAACATCCCTTATAAGTATGTGTTATTGTTAATACAAGCGAGCTGTTAGATCCTTCATGCAGCAATTAACCGTTCACCAAAAGTGTGACATGATTTTTTCAGCACTAAGACTTATAGCTGTGATTTTACTATTATAATTGCAGAAGGTTTGGTAAGTTGTAATTGCAATAAAAAAATAATAGTTTTGGAGAATTAAAAAATATTGTATTTTAACGTATTTAATGGTCATGTTGGAAAAAAATATATTTTGTTTTATTTTTAAAGGATAAGTTAGTCCATTCCTGACTTATAAACTTAAACATAGACGGAAGTTTCAGAAAATGCTATCAAGAAAATTGAAAAAACCAAGGTTAGATGTCCACATATTGCTTTAAATTGTTTTTTGCTTTTATCCTAAAAAATTTTAAGATGTACTTATTTGTGAATAAAACTCAGTTCACAGTGAGGTACTTAGACAGTTCACAAATGATTTACATGCAGATAAGTGCTCCCAAATAAAATGTATATTTAAAATGGCGTAGTAATAATAACTTTATAAGTAATGCAAAATGAAACAGCAAATTAAACAAAATTGCTGGGATCAGAATAGGTGATAGACTTATTTCAGTTTTTATCCCATAACTTTTCGCAAAATAACAATGAGGGTAGACTTTCTTAGTGTGATATACTGCAAATGTTTTTTTTTAAAGTAATTAAGAGTTTAAATCAAGACAGTTTTTTAAAATTTGACTGACGATAAGCAAAAAAAAACCATGAAATGTTATCTCTAGTAACTCAAGTAACTGTAACAACAGAAGATTTAACAAACTAAATAGGACACACACAAAAATGTAAGAGAGTGAAATTACTTGTGAAATACAGCTTTGCCATCCCATTCTCTCAAGTCCAGCTACAGCCAAAATGATAGCATCATAAAAATCATCCTCAGACAATTTTTTGAACCGTGTATTTAGGTTTCCTCTCTGATTGGCAGTTAAAGAATATATGTTATCTGTGCTTTTAAAAATTTTATGATTGGTTTAAATAAATTTAGTCAATGACTATTACTGGTACTAAAAACACAACATAAAATGCTATTATAAATTTATTTAACAAAACCACTTTAAAATTTTTTTTTAAATTACTTGACGAATCACATTAAATAATTTAATTGATAAGGAATTTTTTTTTTCACATAAGATTGCCAGGGGTTTCTCAGAGGCAAAAAATAATATTCTACCTTCTGCCGCCTCAAATAAAAATATTTTTTAAAGATTTACTAAAAAGATATAAATTTGAGTAATTATCATTTTAAAAACCGATGACTAAATTTTTAAACTTTAAAAAAGAAAAATGTAATGCTTAGTGATATAAATACCCAGAGAAGTTTAAATATTTTTTTGTTAGGGTATTAATTTTAATTACATAATACGTCAATAATCATTTATGATAATCCCACTTTATTCCCTCCGAGACACTTAACTACTGTAACAAATATAAATTTAAATGATAATTTTGGGAGGTTTGTTTTATGGTGGATCCACACAAAACATAACATTTAAAAGAACTGAAAGGATACAATATTTTCAATTTTGTACTGAGGGTACAGTCTTTGAACTTGTGCGGCACGTCGCAAAGAACTTGTACCAATAACACTGTGGATACATGTAGCACTGTTACCAAAAAACTGAGTTTAGAAGAAGAATAAGTTAAAAGAAAAAACTTACATTGTTCATTTCATAGTAAATACAAATAAACTCTGACAAATCTGAGGCTATCAATGAAAATGTTCATCCACCCAAATAAAATATTTGATATAAATCCAAACTAACCTTCCTGGAGGTAAATCTTTCATGGTTTTACCTCTGTGTTTTGGGTGCAAGACTATTGCATCATAAGGATTGTCTCGTCTGTTGAAAAATAACAATATCTTCTTAAACAAAGATTTGATTTGCAAAAGTCACCATCTACAATAATAATTCCCAAGTGGATCTTTCTTGCCCACCCCGCTCTCATTGCACACAGTGCTGCTTGTTCATCCGCTGCTTCTCCCATCTTGCGATTGATTATGTAAGCACCAAAAGAAAAAAATACAACTAAGCACTTGTGGATATATGGAGCACCATCTGGAATTATTATCATTATAGATTATGCAGTTCTTCTTGTATTTTACAGGCTTATGGTGCCCCAGCCAGTACTATAATAATCTTATGTAATATGAAATGACATGGTCCCAGAACATTTCATCCACCACCTTGAATTCTGTTTGGAGATTAAAAGTTTTATAACATACCAGATGTCATTTTATAAATTTAATTTAAATGTAATGATAGCAGAACATTGGCTATTTGCTATGGAAAAACCCTTCAGGATGTAGAATACAAACCTTAAATAAGAAGCGTATCACATCATCGTAATCATATTATTTTTTTTTTTATTTAAACCCTACCAAAACTGTCAATGATTCATCCCTGCCTGGCTGTAGGTGAATGTGTGTATCTGTCATAAGATCCTCTTATCTGTTAATCTAATTCTTCTCCGATGAGTTGATGCTCAACACCATTTATTGCCACAAGTGCAGAAATCAGCTGGGAACATCTTTGTTACAACAGAAAACAAACACAGCATTTGCGATTGGGATACTCACTTGCATACACATCCAATAACTAGCCCTTCAGGCAATGTTGTTGGCAGATCTTTAAGGGAATGCACAACGAAATCGACTTGGTTTTTTAAAAGAGCATTCTCCAACTCTTTCGTGAAAAGGGATTTTTCTCCTATCTGTAGAAACATTTTATAATGTAATTCTTAAACCTATTGAGTATGTCCAAATTTTTGTAAGACATAGTAGGTTGCCATAGGATACCCTCCAATTTTGTCCACTTCAAGGGTATTCCTCACCCGTTTGATTTTTCTAACCTCTAATTAAAACAGATCCACTAATATACATTTTTTTAAATAGCATATTTTCAATCAGAATCATTTCTTTCTTTTCAATTTATGGTTTCGTCCTCCAGTCTGTGCTTACATAACCTAGCCATGGCAGCGACCAATGATAAGAAAGCCAAACAACCCCACTTTTCTCCCCGAAAAAAAAAAAATTGTTTTTAATTTAAGAGTTTGTACCCTATAAAGGTTATTGAGTAAATCAGATGGATTCTGTCACTGCTGTGTATCCACAATAAATAACAGGCACTCATTGCATTATCCAGCATGTGATACTTTTTATCTTTGAGTAGTGTCACTCTTCAGCTGATTATCCATGCTATCTGATAAGTATGGTAGTTAAAATAGGACTATTCAAATAAGAAGCAAAAAGACATTTATTACAGACTTTAAAAAATATATTTCAAAATAATACAAATAACATTTTCATTAATTAAAAAGTTTGCTATTTCTCCATTTGCGTTGCATCCCCACCCTCTCATAATCACTTAGACACAAACAAACACAAAATCTGATCACATTTCATTATTTGAAAAAAAAAAATAAATAACTGAACTCATCATATCATCCTCCATCTCCCTATCTCCCCCCCCCCCCCCCCCAAAAAAAAAAATACAAAAAAAAAAAAAAATTTTCTCAAAAGATGGGTGAAAAAAAAAAAAATTCCTTTTTTAAAAATTTTTTGTACCAAATGGGTGTATAAAAAAAATATAAAAAACACAACAAAACAAACAAAAAAAAAAAAAAAAAAAAAAAACACACCCCACACAACAACCCCCCCCCCCCCCCCCCCCCCCCCCTGAAAAAACTAGATACCAGATGCAAATAATATTTCCTATAAGGTAGTGTTAAAATAATCACTGTCCTATTTCAAACATTTCTTGGTCCAAGCTGGTGTCATATAAAATTTATACTAAACCATACACACACATACTCAATAAAAAAAATAAAAAAAACATTTCAAAAGTTCAATCTTTTTCAGACAAAAATTTAGAAATAATTCAAGATAACCAACGTAATGAGTGACAGCAGCATATGGTGCATTTGTGTTTTCAACTAGACTCACCAGCCCTGATTTCAAGATATAGTTTTTAAATATTTGAGCTGCTCAACAATGTGCAATTTTCCTATCTTTAAATAAATGAGATTGAACCATACACCAAACACCATCCTTCAATTTGCTATCTGTCTTTGGTCTTGTTTGCAAATTGTTACGTTAGTTGGATTATTGCTAGAATATTTTTTAATTGATTTCATATACTACTAGGTTCAGAATTCAATTATGATTTGTTTATTTATCAATGTAAACAACAATATGTTTAATACCATTAAAGGGCTGATAAGATTTCCGTGTGTAAACACAAAGCTATAATCATAAAATATATATAATAAAAAAACTTTTGCATGCGAATATGTTTTCAAAAGGGCATCACCAACTTTTGGAGATGAAGAAGTGCCTTGCCCTTTCACAAAATGTCATTTAACAGCAAATATACCTACATAATAGCTGGCAAAAGTACAGCTCTAACACTGTTTGATAACATCACTTAATACAGCCTCAAAATTTGCATCTGTGCAGCACGTATTTAATATTAATTCCAAAATCATTAAAAAATTAAACGTTTTAGTCCCAAATATTGAACTTTAACCTCGCAAAGCGCACCAGTCAAATCTAGATGACCTAAATATACTATTAACTTACAACAAAAACAAATTTAAAAAACAATTGTAGCCATAAAAAAAACTCTGTCAAAAAGACAAGATTACCTTTGATAGTGCTGAATCAAGGATTCTGTCACCTGTTGTTGTCATGGGCACTGAAAAATATGACAAGACATATCTTTTAATAATAAATACTCATTTGCTTTAGGCATCTATTTTATTAACATGATAACATATATATAGATATATTTCATTTATAAGCTGAATAATTATTGTTAAGGAATTATTTAATTAAAATAGCAAAATAAACAAAAAAATTAACTAGAATCTTGTTTTTTAATTTTGTTTCTTTCCCCAAGTATTTGCTTAATTGAAACTTAGAAGGTTAACAAATAGCATAAACTCCTCTCATCAACAAACTCCTCTTTGTTACCTTTTAGTGGGGCGAAAGGTTTTACGTTCAAAATTTGATAAGTAAACATGTTTTTGACTTACAAGTCTCGAATTTGAGAGTCGGGTCTAACGCCCGCAGCATCTGTATCACTGAGTTTGTTTGGATAAGGGCCAGCTGTGGGGGACAATGGGAAACAATCATTAAAAACTTTTATCAATCATCCAATCAACAATTTTAAAAAACACAATAAAAACAATGGACAATGATAAGTGTTAAATAAGCATGATACCCACATAAATATAAGCTGGTCTAAGTATTTTATATTTAGATTTTTTTCCCTCATAAATTTAACTGAATTTTCTTGATATCTGAAATATCCTTTGATTTTATAATTGGGGATTCAATTCAAAAAGTGACAACTAACAGAATTTTTTTTGGAGCTTATTGAATGAATTATGTTCAATAAGTCTGGGGTGTGGAGAGGGAAAATATAGTGTCCCGTAGTTGTGTGAGAGTAATAGTGATTCCTTCCTAAATTTGAGGAGAGATTGAGATTGTGTCCTATCATTGTGTGTGTCATAGAGAGAGAGAGAGAGAGAAAAGAGGGAGTCTGTGTCCAATATTGGTGTATGAGATAGTGAGACAGTGTGACAGCTGGGTCTTAAAATTTTGTGAGAGAGGGTGAGATTATGTCTATATAATGTGTATGGGAAAGAGAGAAATAGGTATAACTTTGTGAGAGATTGAGAGAAAGAGGATTAAATTTGTGTGATAGAGAGAAAGAGGAAGCTGGGGGGGGGGGGCATCGGGGGGGGGGGGCATCGTTGCTCCCCTATTTGGTATTTTCCTTGGCTACAAACCTGAATAAATTTGTTTTAAAACTTCAGCTTACATTGCGTGCAAGATTCTCTACATTTTTTCATGCTTATAATCACAGTTCCATTCGGCCTCTTTGTAATATTAGCCACATTGTGATACATGTGGTTGTTTTTCAAACAAATGTGACATGAAATAATGGAGAATAGAGTTTTGATGGAAAAATACTAATATACACATCATTTGGACAAAAAATATAACTTCTAAAACATTGACAGAATGATTGAAAAGCATTAGTTGTTTTTTTTTAATGCCTTCATGAGGTAGCTACAAAAGAGGACAAATGCACACGATATTATTAAGATGAAGGGAACCTATGACAACGTCTAGCCACCCAGTAGGCCCATTCACAAAAACTGATCTGACTTTGAAAGGGGGGGGGGGGGCTGAGTGCATTTTGCTTCAACATCTGCATACGATACTGAACAACAGCAGCTTTTACATGAGTATGCGTGATTCTTCAAGGCTCACTGGAGAACGTGACTGCCATGGATTTTTAAGATGAAGGGAACCTATGACAACGTCTAGCCACCCAGTAGGCCCATTCACAAAAACTGATCTGACTTTGAAAGGGGGGGGGGGGCTGAGTGCATTTTGCTTCAACATCTGCATACGATACTGAACAACAGCAGCTTTTACATGAGTATGCGTGATTCTTCAAGGCTCACTGGAGTACGTGACTGACATGGATTTAGGCAGCGCACTTTGGGCCCGATCTGAACGGCAGCGGGGAGCAGTAAGACCCACATATGTGGTCCTCGGAGCAAGGCTCGTAGGTTGGTAAATAATATGTTTTTAAGGTTTAACAGCATAATGACTTCTGGCCTCCGTGTTGAAATAAATCGTATACTTCTCTTGAATATAGTAATATAAGGGCAGTCTTGACTGGTTCAAAAGTGCCTGGGATAAAGGCTATGAGTGCAGCTAACTTTGTTACGGGAAAAGAAGGGGTGGGGGGGACGGTGAGGTTTACATATTTTGAACGCACGAATTCAGAAGCCGATAAGCCATTTGCGTACCGTGGTCTTGAACGAAGCAAAGCCCTCAAACCAGTGGCGTAACAAAGGAGGTACGGAGGGGGCCGTTCCGCCCCCCCCCCTACGAGCGGCACATTTTTCTTTATAATGAAGAGCTGCATTTTCGGTAAACCGCAGAGTTTGTTTCGTGGAAGGGAGCGGCTAAAATCTTGACCCGCGGCACTAACCCCTAGCTACGACACTCCATCATATCAGGCAACAAGTACCGTCAGATGAAAACTCCATCAATAATCAAGCCATATTTAATTTGTGTCTTATCCCGCTGAGCGTTATTTTACTTGAAATATCCCCACCATTCAGGGCTCAACAGACTACAATTTCAGATCTCAAATTGAAAATCGTTCATAAGGAATGACAGCGACCCGAAGCTCTTATGCCCCCCCCCCCCCCNCAAAAAAAAAAATAAAAACCCCGAGAGCCCAAATTCGCAGCAGCAACCCTCTTTTTACAGAGGAGAGATCGGCTCGCCCCCCGACGCAGATAGGGGGGTCTACACCGGCACCTTCTGGCGAACGTTTCCTCAGAGCTGTCGACCACTTAGATCATAATAAGTGTTTATTCCTAATGTGGTACTGTGCACTCCTGGGCCCCTCCGTAAACGCATCACAAGAACTAGCCAGTGACGGGGACGAAGCGGTAGCCTGGGAGACCCACCCTCAACGGGGGTGGGGGGTGTTTAGCACTTTTCGTCCTCGACAACATCTTCGTTATATCTACAACCCTTTCAAGTTCAAGGGCAGCTGTAATGATGAACCCTGACCCTAGCTCCTCCCAACGTTAAAACTAAAACTAAATGACGTTACTGCGCTGAATCTGATACAGATAGTTGGGCTTCAGTGCATGCCATTACTTCTCTAAGCCAGGGTTGGTCAAAAACAGATAGTGACGACACCCCCCCCCCACACACCAATCTGCTAACAGTTAAACCATTTCTATTCTTCAGAGGGGGGCATAAAGAAACGGGGCGGTAAATAAATGTGATAACTAGCGAGCGGCTTGAACGTGAGAGCACTCTCAGTGTATAACGAGAAACATCCTTCTAGCAGTGTACGAGCATAGCTGAAACATCCTGCTGGCCGTGTACATGTATAGCTGAAACATCCTTCTGGTATTGTACATGTATAGCTGAAACATCCTTCTGGCCATGTACGTGTATAGCTGAAACATCCTGCTGGCCGTGTACATGTATAGTGTATAGCTGAAACATACTTCTGGTATTCTACATGTATAGCTGAAACATCCTGCTGGCCGTGTACATGTATAGCTGAAACATCCTGCTGGCCATGTACATGCATAGTTCAAACATACTTTTAGCAATGTACTTGAACAGTTCAAACAACCTTCTAGCAATATTACAAGTATAGCTGTAAACCCCCTCTAGGAGTGAACATGTATAACTGAAACAGCCTTCTAGCAATATACTTGCATAGCTGAAACATCCTGCTAGCAGTGTACATGGTAATAAGGGGGAGAGACTGCCATCAGGTTAGCAAAAAAATCAAACAAACAAAAAACCACAGGAGATGAGTCAAACAAGTTTTGTGAAAGCCTGAGAAGGGAATGTGCTATTTTTTTTAATGTAATTCAAATTAGCCTAAGCGGTCCAATCATTGTTCCAATTCTTTTGTCCAACAACTGTAAATTAGTTTGGAATATAAATTGCAATTGCTTACAGGTTGATTTTTTAAATCGTAAAATGTACATGGTGACATTGTTAAATGGCGAATAATCCACCACGCGCACAGATTCCATTGCCAAAAAAAAAAAAAAAGCACCAAAAAAAATTATTTTTTTTTTAAACCCGCATTTTACAATGCTGATCCTTATGACATATATGGGAGAACTGGTCAGATGTCTTACCATGTCAAAGTTGTACATTAAAATGACACGACCACAGCTTAAAGTCGTTCATATTTGTTGTAAGCCTTCAATCAACGGGACCTCATTTACGGGTCTGTGAAACTAAAACTTTGCGCTGTATAATCCAAATACAGAGAGCTTGAAGGAAAAAAAAAAGGGGGGGGGGGCAGACTGTTTTATGATCCTCCCGGCTAAAAGTGCACACGTAAATCACGTTTCCTCTCTTCTGACATACGCAGTGTCCAAAAACCAGCACAGCATCAGTTTTTGCTCTAGCCGCGCCACGACAAGGGCGGCGCACTTTTGTGAGGGCCAAGAGAGTGAACTGTGTGTGTTTGAGAGCAACGCGAGAGCTTTGTCCTAACACTGGTCCAGTCTCCTCCACGTGATATCAACGTTAACACCGTGTGACCTGCCGTTAACACCGTGTGACCTGCCGTCAACACCGTGTGACCTGCCGTTAACCCCGTTTGATCTGCCGTTAACACCGTGTGACCTGCCGTTAACACCGTGTGACCTGCCGTTGACACCGTTTGACCTGCCGTTAACACCGTTTGACCTGCCGTTAACACCGTTTGACCTGCCGTTAACACCGTTTGACCTGCCGTTAACACCGTGTGACCTGCCGTTAACACCGTGTGACCTGCCGTTAACACCGTTTGACCTGCCGTGAACACCGTTTGACCTGCCGTGTTTTGTAGTTAAAGACGTCCCAGACACAGCGAGGTCTAATGTTGACGGTGCATGGAAACGGCCCAATAATACACCAGCAGTCATAACCGCATGACTCTGAATAACAGCAGCAAATGACATCTTAACAGACGCTGGCGAGCCACTCCAGAACCATTTTGATAGCAAAGCCGTCACGAGAGCCCTGCGACCCCAGAGGGCCTCTGATATTTAAGAGGCACAAAGTTGCGATGAGAAAACAAATTTTAAAAAATCAACGGGGGGTGGGGGGGCCCCACGAAAAAACGACCGCTCTGCCTGATGGTACATCTATTTTGGTTGTTAAAATAATAAACGCATGTATTATGTTTACATACACACTTGTTTTAAAGAACATACCATAATCGTCGGTGGGGAGGGGGGTTTTTTTAAATTATTTAATACTTAGTGGCATTACAGTGGCATACCTCTAAAAATTTCTATTTCAAAATGAATGTAACGGCAAGTGTTGGGATGGGGACTGAAAGGAGGACACGGGGAAAGGCGGAGCTTTCAATACTTGCCCTACCCCCAACACAAACACACACCAGACCTGTTTACTCTTACGATTTTGGCGTACAATGTACGATTTTTAGGCATATAGATTGTATACACTGTTAATTTTTTACTATAAATATAACGTATTGAACGATTTTGTGATGTTTTTCTACGATTTTAAGAGTTTGAGGGTAAACAGGTCTGACACACACACAAAGACACACACGGACGCCAATGGTCACATGTTCTTTCTTCAGAAACGACTAGCCGCTAGGGTCTCTAAATTCCCGGGGAATTACCCTAAAAGTAAAGGTTGGTGGCTGAATAATGGTAAAATGTTAAAAAATGAACGGTGAAAACCGCTCTCATAAAGTTGTAAAGTTTATAACGGCACACGGGCCTTAAAGTTACGCTTGTCAGAACATGATAGATATGGCATTACGTTCAGCTTTTATTGTTATTATTATTTTTTGGTCACTACAATCATTATCATTTGTGTACTTAACGAACCAGTCATCTGAAATGATCAAAATGGCATTCCGGTGAAATGTAACGGAAAAAAAAAATGTACTGGTTCTATAGGTGAAATGTTCGTTTAATCCCCACTGGTTGGAACACATTGCGGAAATTGAGAAGATCAATATTTGTTGCCGGGTGCGCTAATAATCGGTATTGCCCGGTATCAGGCTCCCCTACGGCCCTAGGTTTAATCCAAAGTAAGAGAGACCGATTTGCTTGCAGAAAGATTGGTCTCATTAAACTGCCTCTGATACATATTTTTTTTAAAATTTAGCACATATTTCTGGCTTATAAGCAATATCATATGTAATGACTTTAAAGTCAGCACTTAAAGAGGCATTTGTGCACGCCAGCACCTAGAGAAACCATTGTGCCAGTCAGCACTTAGAGAAGCCATTGTGCCAGTCAGCACCTAGAGAAACCATTGTGCCAGTCAGCACTTTAGAAGCCATTGTGCCAGTCAGCACTTAGAGAAGCCATTGTGCCAGTCAGCACCAAGAGAAGCCATTGCGCCAGTCAGCACTTAGAGAAGCCATTGCGCCAGTCAGACCTAGAGAGGCCATTATGCCAGTCAGCACCTAGAGAATCTATTGTACCTGTCAGCACCTAGAGAAGCAATTATGCCAGTCGGCACCTAGAGAAGTCATTGTGCCAGACAGCACCTAGAGAAGCTATTGTACCTGTCAGCACCAAGAGAAGCCATTGCGCCAGTCAGCACCTAGAGAAGCCATTGGGCCAGTCAGCACTTAGAGAAGCCATTGCGCCAGTCAGCACCTAAAGAAGCCATTATGCCAGCCAGCACCTAGAGAATATATTGCACCTGTCAGCACCTAGATAAGCCATTGTGCCAGTCAGCACCTAAAGAATCTATTGTACCTGTCAGCACCTAGAGAAGCAATTATGCCAGTCAGCACCTAGAGAATTCATTGTGCCAGTCAGCACCTAGAGAAGCCATTGTGCCAGTCAGCACCCAGAGAAGCCATTGCGCCAGTCAGCACCTAGAGAAGCCATTATGCCAGGCAGCACCTGGAGAACCCATTGTGCCAACGAGTGTCATTAATAAAGCAGCACAATATGCACCCTTCTCAACACATCACGCTAGCAATGGTCCGTCAATGAGAGTTAGCGCTTTAAATTTAATGCAATGCACTAATGACTGCGTTTTGTTTTTTTTACCCAACAGAATAACAAAGACATCTTGGAAGTTTCAACAGCCAACGGTGTCAATAGTATGACAAGTTGTCAGTTTCGTATCGCGGAGGAACTGCTTCGTTATGCGAAAATTCCCTCCCCTACCCCGTACTTACTGAATAAGTAAGTTAGTAAGTTGTTGTTTTTTATGTTTATTACTCCAAACTTTCATGTAACAGATTTGATATCGATATGACAAGATCAGTCTTTAAACACCGACTGTTTGTGGTTCAACCAAATTAACAATGAACAAGTCAATGTTATATAACACTGGCCACCAGTGATAAGATTGAAATTATTTAAAGAACATACATGGCAGTCGGGTGGTTTTTTTTTTTTTTTTTTTTTTTTTGTTTTTGTCAAACCAATTTAATATTAATAAGAAATACGTTTTGTCAACCCATAACGCCCAGCCCAGTGGTCTGCAAATTTATTTAAAGAACATACATGGCAGTCGGGTGGTTTTTTTTTTTTTTTTTTTTTGTTGTTTTTGTCAAGCCAAGTTAATACTAATAAGTAATACGTTTTGTCAACCCATAACGCCCAGCCCAGTGGTCTGCAAACTCATTGGTCAAAAGAGACAAAAATCAGCAGCAGGACGATTCAGAAATGTTTGAGGGCCAAATTTCTTAACAAGAACCTGTCAAGAACCAGGTTTTATTTTGGAGTCAAAACCGATTTGCCGCTCTCATGTCACTAAAGAGCCGCGTGCAGCTCGCGAGCCGCGATTTGCCGACCACTGGCCTAGCTTAATAAATTGTCTCGGTGTTGGTTTCCGCTGTTTGGAAGTCATATCAAATGTCTTGTTCATTCTTAGTCGAGTGACACTAAATAGAATGATGTATATCCTGGTAATAAATTGTCTCGGTGTTGATTTCCGCTGTTTGGAAGTCATATCAAATGTCTTGTTCATTCTTAGTCGAGTGACAAGAAATAGAATGATGTATATCCTGGTAATAAATTGTCTCGGTGTTGATTTCCACTGTTTGGAAGTCACGTCAAATGTCTTGTTCATTCTTAGTCGAGTGACACTAAATAGAATGATGTATATCCTGGTAATAAATTGTCTCGGTGTTGATTTCCGCTGTTTGGAAGTCATATCAAATGTCTTGTTCCTTCTTAGTCGAGTGACAAGAAATAGAATGATGTATATCCTGGTAATAAATTGTCTCGGTGTTGATTTCCAGTGTTTGGAAGTCACATCAAATGTCTTGTTCATTCTTAGTCGAGTGACAAGAAATAGAAGGATGTATATCCTGGACAATTATTTGACACCAACAATCCAATTGGCATTTACTATTTCTTTCAAACATGTAGGCGTCATTTTAGTTTAAGAAATATATTTCCTACATAAATCAACAGCGCCCGATTTAAGTGTCCTAGCGCCCCTTAAAATCTCCCAGGCCCCGGGGTACCGCCCACTTGGAGAACTACCGGGCTATAATGTATATTGCCAGCGCAACAAACGTAAAATATTAACAATAACATTGTATTTAAAGCAATATTGGTGACTTAAATACTACAGGTCAGAAACTGTTAAGTAGATGTTTTCATAGGCCCCGTACAATGTCCGCATCCTTGTTTATAATCTATGTTATATGTCTAGTAGTCTTAAAGTAGGGTCCACGTTTGTGGGAACATGTTAACTTCTCGGTTCTTGAAAATAACTTCTGAAAGAAAAAAAAAACAGTGGTGTTTTATTGTTGTTTTTAAGGAGGGGGGCGCTGTCTGTCTGGGGGTGGCGCTGTTTATCTATCTTTCAAAGCTCAGATGGATGTATTTGTTTTTCTACGTTAACAAACTGACGGCGGTCTTAACATGGTTGGCTGAAAATGAAAACAACGCTCTGCTTCCCTTTGTGGCAACAAATAACAGACATGTGATAGTGTCAAGTTGTTTGTTTTTTTTTTTTTAATGTCTGCATATTTACTAAACAGATGAAGCAAAAGGAGGACATGGGGGGGGGGGGGTCAAAATGTAAGCAGCTTCTTAAATCTTCCAAATTACTTTTTTTTTTAATGGCTTTAAATGAATCTTGAATATTAAAGATAAATCATGACCAAATCCCAAACCAAAATCTCGAGATCTCAACGATAAAAATGACGAGAATAACTCCATCACGTCCAGAGACGTGACACAGATGCGTTATCTCAGGCCCGCGAAATCCCTAGCTTTCCCCTAGCGGAGAGATTGAATGCATACAAATGGAGAGGGGATCAAGGAAAACCCAAACCCAGGAGTTAATTACCATCTTACTCTCGCACTATGGAGACTTGTTTCGTGCGATGATTCTCAGGGTATTTTTACATGTACCCCTGGTGGTATATTTGAGACGTCCTTTACTTTAACTATTATGTGCTACACGGAGAGGAGACGACACACAATTCAACTACGCATAGTGATATCCAGTCCTAAGTACGAACAAATTACTACTTTGTGGAGGAGTAAGTCATAGCGGGTTATTCAAGTGGTGTGATGTGCCAAATGTTTGAGAGCCGCCGGTTTAGTGGCCACAGGGAAGTAGCTTTCGCGGGTGTAAACCCGGATTGACGCGAGTGCCCTACAGCAAGAGCAATGACGTGACGTGCCAAAGATGAAATGTCCGTACGCCCTTAAAACCAACCTCAGAAAGCGTAACAGGCACTTGCGTAGTAAGGGTGGGGAGGCGGGGGCGGCCAGCCCCTGGTGGCACCTTTTTCTATGTGTTTTCGTGGAATGGGCCGTTTGAAATATTAACCCAACGGACGGCTCAAACCCCTGGGAAAACCACTAATAACAGAGCAAGCGTGGGGTGTCGACATCTTTTCAATGATAACTAGATGTCAGAATAGTAACCATTGATTTTCACCAACACAAAGTAAAAAAACACGAACAGGCGGAATTCGCGAAACAAAATATGTATCATTAAAGTGAGGCTCCCAAGAATGTTAACAGTTAAGACCCTCAAGCGCCCATCCGTACGTAGTGTCGACATGTCGTTTCTAGTTAATGCTTGTCTCTAAACTAAGGACTCGTGGCCCATAGCGGGATTCTCGTGTGGAACTTGAATGGGAAATATCACAAGTCTCAGAAAATAGTTATCTCTACATGTAGAGCTGCTGGGCAAATCACACTCACCACTGGCTCGTATTTTTAATGTTTTCCTATTACGCATGGAAACGGGAGTCAGACAAAGGGTGTATATTTCCTCCCTTTCGATATCTTCAGTCAAAAGGTGGAACGGGATACTGGGAATAACTGAACGACCTAGACTTTACAGAGGAAATTGTACTTCTTTCCCACGATCAACAACACAAGCAGGAAAATGAAAAGAGATTTAGCCACTATTTCAGCACAAGTTGAACTCAAAATAAATAGAAGCAAGACAAAGTTCGTGAACATAAACACAACTACCCAAGAGCAGATCTCCTTGGGAAGGAAATACAACCGGAAGAGGTGGAGGCCTTCAACAACTCTACACAGGAAGAGGTGGAGGCCTTCAACAACTCGGGAAGCACCATTGACCCAAATGGCGGTTCAAAAGCAGATTTTAGGGCTCGATTTGGAAAGGCCAGGTCAGCAATTGTGCAGTAAAAGAAAATATGGAAATAAAAGAAGCTGCTCTGCAAAGTAAAGTTATAAATTTGCACCACTAATGTCACGTCAATCCTATTCAATGAAACTGAAACTCGAAAAAAACTCTGTAAAAAGAGGAGTGTTTCACAAAAACTTGCCTTTTAACAAATCCTGAACATAAAATAGCTAAATATTATCAAATACTTCATGGAGAAGACATACCAAGAGCCTATTGCTCAAGACATCATAAGGAAAAAGGAGGAGACAGTTAGGGCTTTTCTTCACCCCCAGAAAACATCACCAGGCAATCTCTAACAATTGCATCTGGAGAGAACAAGGATTTTTCCTTGTTTAGGCTTTTGTGGGGAATGAACTCCAGTCCACAAGATTGGAATTGACTCAGCTCAGACCGCACAGCCATCCAGATGTCACTGAACTAGACTCTGAATAACAAAAAAGCTTTATCGCCCTTGTAAACTAAAGTCTATTGACGCAACTTGATAATGAGACCACAAAGCATGTACGGTACTCTCAATGTTATGTAATTTAAGATATTGGATTTGACAAAGGTATAAGTGATTTGGAAAAAGGTTATAACCCTAACACTTTGAAAAAAAAAATCAAACATGGAGTGGATCTGTGTTAGAAGCATGAGTGCTACTGGTCTCTGTTTGGTAGTAGTACAAAAAATTATTTTTAAAAGATGTGAATTTTTAATACCTGGCTGGGTCCAGATATTTTCTGGATGCGTAATACTAGGTATATCCGGGTGGCCATGTCAGCACCCGCTATGCACTATTATTTAAATATTCGTACATGCTAAATTTGATGAAGATAATAATAATATTATTTACTGTTATTTCTTGCCCCTTTCAAACTTTAAAATTAATTTAAAAATCATACTCAAGAAATTAATCAAATAATATTGAATGAGTCATTATATAAGTATATAAGTGAGTAAAATTAACAAAGTAAACTAACCAAAAAATTAAATAGGAACCATTTCCAGAAAACAAATCTGACCAGAATAGCCATAAGCTTTGCACCATAAAAATTATGCTCTTCAAATTTAGCTAGCAAGACACATAGAATTTGATATAATTATGATCAGAAATATGGAGGTTCATTAGTGCTTCACAAAGAAAGTTACTACATATATTTTGGAATAGGTAATTCAAAGATCATCAGTATTGGAAAACAATTAAAAGTAAAAGAATCATGAATTTAGTAATTTTAATAATGTATGCCAACTTACTTTGTTAAACTAACTTAAACTTTAAACATATATGTGCCTTACTATTAATGTATTATTATATTAAATTAATTAAATAAAGACAAGTAGCCCTATTTAACTTTTAAAAAGTATTAACTTTAATTAGGTTTAGAATTGAAACATGAAGTTTTATAAAACTTAAGACAAAAAATGTCAAATACAGAGTAGAGCCCACAAGTTTTTTTAAGTGTAAACAGGTTAATGCTAATAATAATACTGATAAACTTACTCTTAACTTACTAAGCATATACTATATTAATATAATAAAACATTAAAACACATACATCATATCAATAATGACAATACTGATCATGCATAGTATAATATAATATAAGTAACTACTAATTTTAGCAGCATTTCCCCCCAACTTAAATGAATATAGACATTGACATAGAGTCCAAACAACCTGATATAGATAAATAGAAATGCAATTTTCCTGACTCTGAAACTTAAGACATACATTTTATAAGCCTAACACTAACTAAATTTAAATATCTGATCTCGTTTTTCACTTTTTATTTTTAGGTCATCCTCTAAAAAATATTTTTGTTTTTTTAAAAAGGGGGGGGGGGGGGGAATAAAGCATTTTTAGTTGCCTAGGCCTAGTTTAGGTATAAGGCTAAGGTTAGTAAACACTGTGAATAGTGTGAAGTGAATATAGATTAGGCCTAGTGCCTAGTGCAAAAATGTGTAGTAATACCAGTACAGCAGAACAGTATTATGGCTAGGCCTACTTTAACTACTGTTTCTATTTCTGTAAGTATAGAAGAAGTAGAAGTAGAAGCCTATAAGTTATAGTATAACTATAACTTTTAATAGTACTACAGACTACAGTTTAGCTAGGACAGGATGTAAAACTAAGTAAGTCAACAATTGACAATGGCATGGCATAAGTCTTACTCTTCTTAGTTAAGTCTAAGTACTTCAACTTTAAGTAGTATACTTTACTTTAACGTAGCCTCTTACTTAGAATTCTTAGTCTTACTCTTACTCTTTCTTACTCTTAGTAGTAAGTAGCCAATTGGCAAAATTACTTATTTTAAAATTATTACTACCTACCTGACTTTTTCTTGTCCCAACACGTATAATCCGTTCCTCTGCCATTCTGGATTTTAAATAAAACTACACAAATTTTAATAACAACAGCACGTATGTTCCCTTCCTCAAGTCGAGATAAACTATTATTAACAGATTGTGCTACGCACTGTCGTAAACACCTAACAAAATGTGTGCATCGAAGTACACTCAAACTGCTGACGTCAAATGACCGCCTGTAACCTTTGATTGATCCGAGTTGCTACGTTTACGACTGCGGTAAGCTAAACGTAGCCTTGTAAAAGCTAAGCTTACCGCCGAAGAAAGCGTATCAATTTTTTTAAATATATACATTTGTTCTACTTTAGTATAGTATATTAATCAAAATAAAAAATAGAACAAGATTGTATAACTCTTAACTTTTTATTCTGATTTGCTTATGACGTATGTTTAGAAAATCAAATCAAGCCCCGTAAACAACGACCTGCGAGCAATTTCAAACTCACTGACTCTTTTTTTGCCATGCCGTATGCAGTTTGAATGGATTTTACTTTTTAAATACTTTAAAATCTCTAACTGCGCCTGATATTGCACCATATGTAGCGCATGTTGAGCTTTTCATTCTCAAGCTAGTCTGCTGACAGGCTCCTCTACCAAAACTTAACTGTAAAATTTGCAATCAGCGTCTGTCTAACATACAATTAAACTACTCGCCCTAAGTTGTATTTTTATTATAGTGGTCCAACCTCCCACGTCACCTATCTTGTGTAACTCTTAATGCAAATATTAAAATTATTTCCTCAAAATTACTACTATATTTATGTTGGTACAATCTCTTTGTACGTACCCTAAATTTATGGGCGATCTGCAACCCTGGCTATATACCTCAACAAGGACCAATGAAATTTAACTTTGTGGTTTGTTTAGGCCTCGAGATTATTCAAAGTTGTATGATAAATCTTGCAATATGTGAAATATATTTGTATTGCAATAAAAAAAAAACGTAAATACATTTCCTATCAAATATGGAATGTCCCCCATAGTTTTCATATTGCCCTCCTCACCACCCCTGTCATGGTACTTACGCCCGTAATAGGGACACACTGATTTAAATCTGAATTGAAATGTGATTAAATAATTACAGAAACTCTGTCCATAAAGATAGTTGATTGCAATGTAGGTGATTGCAATATAAGTGATTGCAATAGAACACGTTGAAACTGAATGAATATTTGATTTTAAATAATCATTTTGTAAGAAGGGTTAAAACCACATGCTAAACTTACATCGCAATGTAGGCAAAAGCAGTTGTTGTTTTTTTAATCATTTTGTAATTAATGCCAGACAAGCGGTTTCAAACACTCACGTAAAATTTAATTCAACTGCTCTGCCCCAGTGAAGGTTCTCCTGGGCAGGGATCTTCTTATTGCTCTTCAGGTACCTCGACAGGGTTGGTGTGCCTGCTTATTTCGGGGTTTGAACTGGTAAGGGTCAGATGGTGGTGATCTCCTCCTTAGAGGCAATCAAATGACCTCCAGCGATCTGATGAAATTGTGGTCCCCGAGACTCTTAGAGAACGTACCGTTTTGTGCTCCCGAGAAGGACATCTTTTAATTTTTTTTAACGACCCTGAAAATATTTTTTTGGATCTTCTTTTGGTCCCCATAATTATCCATTTTCTCTTCTCAAATTTACCCTTATTATAATTACGCTATATGAAGTTAGATCCCCCCCCCCCCACCCCCCCCCTACCCAACCCCCCAGATCTCATGCAAAAACATACAAACCCCTCGCCCCCCCCCCCCCTTTTTCCCCATCGTAGTTCGTCCAGTTTGTCTCCGCCATCTTAGAAATTCAAAGAATTCTTATATAAAATAATCCAAAGTTACTAATGATAAATTATCTCATGGCAAAATAACAATGAGTACCTTGGCGAGTGGACGGTATTATCCTGGCGGTCATTATTCTTGAGGTTCCCAAAATATTTCTGACACATAGAGTTTTGTTTAAAAAAAATAAAAATGCAATTTAAAAAATAATCATTATTACTACAATTTAAAAACAATTGCTGACAATGAAGCCACATGAATCAGCTGTGCATTTTATTTTATTTTTTGCTACCACCTACTAGGCTAGACTCAGAAGGATGAACATTAATTTTTAAAAATGAAATGTTGCTCGTCTCATGTAGCACAATGGGAGTCATAGGTTAATCAACGGTCAAACTATTGATGAAGGAGACTAGCACCGAGCAGATTTAGACAAGTCCCATCATGGTTACCACTCTGTCTTGAATTTGGCTGGAAAGCCTGTGTATATTAACGTCACTGCCATTTTTAGAGAAACAATCAGATTCGATCCAGAGATTGAACCACCCGTTAAAGAATGAACTATGTCCACCTACCATAAGGCTTACAAGTATTAGCAAAAATGGGTAAATCTTTCCCATGACTACGATGTTCCTCTGTCACAACCTGTGCCAAGACAAAATGATTTTAAAAAACTTGGTTAAAAAATTGTAGAAGAGTATAAGTTATACACTAACATCTCACATTTGGATGGCGGAAATAACTAAGAATATTAAAACGTTAAGTCCACACATTGAAGAAATGGTACAAGGTTGTTGGCTTGAATTTATATCACTATTAAGTTATTTCTGAATTATTAGAATATAATATGTATTTTGTAATTTATATGGAAGACAAGGGACGATCATTCCAATGATTGGGTGAATCGGGAGGTGAATATATAGTTCAGTGGTTCTTAACCTTTTTGGAGGTACCTAACGTCACCAGTTTCATATGCGCATTCACCGAACCCTTCTTAATAGGTAAAATAGTTTTTTGTGGACCTCCGCTTGGGGTTCGATCGAACCCAGGTTAAGAACCACTGAAATAGGTGTATTGTAAAATATACATTTTAAAAAAAATATATATCTTCAGTTGTAAGGAATATATACTTTGAGGACAATTAATTAATCTACTGCTGCGAACTGGCTGTGGACTAAGAGTGGTCCAAGCTGAACATTATTATTGTCAAGTATCTGAGGTGGAATAAAGAGCATAATATATAACAATAGTATAAGTACATAATATAAACATAAAATAACGTTTATAATATATGATGCAGAGTCTATATTGATTATGGTAGCTAAAGGGGTTAACCAGGGATCAAATCATAAGGGGAAAAAAGTGTGTGAATCCACGCAAGATCCCCCTCACGAAATAAATTCTTAGCAAAACAAAAACAAACAAAAATACAAGAACGTCATTCTCATTCGCTCTTGCAAGACTTGAGACCTGGGATCAACTCATATGTGTTTAACTACATCAGATACCACACGTTTATCCGTGCGTTTGACGATTTTTAAAATACTTTTGTTGAGCGTGCTGAAAGAGTCGAAAATACAACTGCAGCTGCTGTACTGAATATCTTCTTTAAACAAAATTAGTAAAAAAAACTTGGTATTAATTAGGTATACTTTCAGTGATAATGGAAACAAAAATAGGGCCTTACCCAGTGGTACTCTCAGCGAGTCGTACCACCCTAAGGGGCGGTAAAATGTTCGGTAGATTTAGGAGTGGGGCGCTGGAAATATCAAAGGTGGGGAAACATTTCAGAAAGCCTTTTTTAAAATTAAAATTATAGGAATTTGAAAAAAAAAATACTAGTCGTTATCGGTTTTGGGACAAAAGTCCATTAAGAGAAATCAGATAAATAGTACAAGGAGCTATTAATAACAAGAAATGTTTACATATATAAAGGCTAAATTAATATACTGTAGACCAGGGTTCTCAAACTCGCGGAAGATATTTTGCGACCCGCTACCAATATTCCCTTTAAGGTTTGTTGGTTCGTGTGTAAAATCATACAGTTGTGTGCAAAGTTTTACAGCATCAATTTTTTGTGTGCAAAATTGTACAGCCCACAAATACAAACACACACACTTACATGGAAATTGCTGCGCGGATACTCAAAACTGCTGCCGCGCAGCTTAAAGGGAACACTGCCCGCTACATGACAGCAAAGTCTAGTGTTAATGCGGCCCGCGATCATATTTATAATATGACCCTCCACGACGGTTTCAGTCGAATCTCACTGAGTAGTCTAATTCTGATTTTTTGTTATGCTTGTATATATTATTTGAACGTTGATTATAATGGTGAAACCCGTTTTAAAATCGTACTAGAAGTTTTTTTATGTTATAGCATTTTATGAGACAAACATGGCCAAAGTGCGGTTTTGAGAAAAGTTTAAAAAGTCAGTTAGTGGGTAATGACACAACCATAATTGTTTAAATCGTAGCAATCTAACACAGTATCAAAGAATTCTTATTTAAATTGCAGTTAGTATGTACGAGTGATGAATGAGAAATTCCGAGCTTGTCAGCTTAATCACTTTCAAAATAGGGTTTGTCAAAAGGGCCTTTTCTACGATAAAAAATCAAAATTCATTCTCCATATAATAGCATCTTCTTTCGCATCAATAATTCATAAATATTGCCTGGTCTTGCATACTGTTTGAACACGGTTTAGCATTTCAAACTTTATTGAGAAGGATGGGGTGGTTGTTCCTGTACTAAGTGATCCCAAAATGGGTCATGGACTTGTCTTTTCTTGTTGACATTGCACAGGAGCTGAATTTACTCAACAAGAAGTTACAAGACCAGAGGTAGCGTGTCGGTGTTGCCTGTGACAATGTCGGGGCATTCTGCACAAAACTTGTGTTATGGTTCTTAGAGAAACCTCTGCCGTTTCCCAATATGTAAGTAAAGTACTCATGGACTCGGGCACACCATTCAGTAGTAAGAATACTTATGCCATTGCAAAGCTACAGGAAGAATTTGATCAAATTTTTGCAAACTACAAAACACACAGAGCCACTTTTCAAAAGTTTGCTGACCCTTTCTCGTTTAATGTGGAAGATTCCCCGAAAACCAGCCCCCCACCCCCAACACTTTTTTTTTTTTGCGTTTCAAATGGAGCTGATTGAACGTCAGTGCAATTCAAAGTTCACGGAGGGGAATAGAAAAAAATACAAGCTATGACAATATATGAGAAAAATGTCCCCCACCCCCACACCTTTTTTTTTTTTTTTTGCGTTTCAAATGGAGCTGATTGAACGTCAGTGCAATTCAAAGTTCACGGAGGTGAATAGAAAAAAATACAAGCTATGACAATATATGAGAATAATGAGAGCATTGCCCTCTACTTTTCCTGAGATTTCCAGGCTGTTCAAGCGGATCATGTGCCTTTTTGGGAGTACCTATCTGTGTGAAAAGCTCTTTTCGTCTATGAACTTTAACAAGTCAAAGTTCAAGGCCAAACAGATGAGCATCTTCAAGTGGATAAAAAACTGAAATTTTAATGACTTTTACAATGCCAGTGTGTCAGTTGCTTTTAGAGTCTATTTGACACAGTGTAATTGTTGAATAAAACACACCCTTTTCTCCCAGTGATGTCATTGTAAACGGTTTACGCAGCCTGCGAGACTATGTCAATCTATTTATAACCAAATCGATAAACTCTACTTTCTTGAGGCATCCTGCTCTGGTAGCAACCTTTTCTGTTTCCAACCTGATCTGATGCAAACTTCTCTCCTGGAAATCTTATCTGATGGCACCGTGTTCTTTCTTGTGACACCGTGTTCTGGTGACATTCTGTTCTGGGGGAAACCTGCTATGGTGGCAGCCTGATCTCGTTGTACCTTTTCAACCTCGTATGGTGGCATCCTGATCTTATGGTACCTTTTCAACCTGCTATGGTGGCAGCCTGATCTTGCGGTACCTTTTCAACTTGCAATGGTGGCGGTCTGATCTTATGTTACCTTTTCAACCTGCTATGGTGGCAGTCTGATCTTGTTGTACCTCTTCAACCTGCAATTATGGTAGTCTGATCTTGTGGTACCTCTTCAACCTGCAATTATGGTAGTCTGATCTTGTGGTACCTCTTCAACCTGCAATTATGGCAGTCTGATCTTGTGGTACCTCTTCAACCTGCAATTATGGTAGTCTGATCTTGTTGTACCTTTTCTGGTCCCCGCCGGCTCAAGTATTTAACTGAGTTCTGTTTTAATATGGAATCGTTTAAACATTATCCAGTTCGCAATTTCCTTTGGTGTCACCCCCTATGAGGGTGTCATTTGCTGCGGCTCACGCCCCTTTTTGACGCTATTGCTTAAATTATATTGGGAAAATTGTAATATAGTGCATAAAATTGTGTCTGAGCGATTGTATTGTCTTCTTTAACAGAAATTTTAGATCGGGCGATAAAACTATTATATGCATCTGGTTATTTTGATGATTATTTATAATTCAAAGCTGAAGCCATTGTTTAGAAGACATCGTATTTTGTAGGGGTAGTGTGTGGTAAAAAAAAAGTGAAAGGTGGGGGGCACTACGGCTGTTTTTAAGATGCCATGGGGAGCGGTGGTCGAAAAAGTTTGAGAACCACTGGCCCAACCATTTAGCGGGTAGTCCAATAATTTCTAGAGCTTGTCTCTTTCAGGTAGAATTTCTTTCTTGGCGACTGGTCAATTTGAAGACTTAATGCTCACATAAGAAAAAACTGCATTAATATTCTACTTAGATCTCGTTACACTTGAAGTGGCTGTTAACATTCTCCTTATATCACGTCATCAAACTTACCGTCACTGACTTTGTTAATTTCTAATTAGATCATGCCACACTTTCATATACTAAAGCAGGAGTGAGCTATCTACTGCACGCGGGCCAATGCGGCCCGGAGAAAACAAAGAATAAATCAGTCACAGTTTCTTCCTACATACGTATCGTCTCGACATCAGTCATGTACACATTTCATTCCCATCTATCAATAGCCTGACTAAGAAGATTTTTCAACAATCGTGAGGATTTTTAGGAGAAAACTGCGGAAATGCTGGATTTCTTCCGACGTAAATTTTACCCTGACCAAATTATAGAAGCAGCTGTCACTCGAATTAAAGGTATGACCAAAATAAATGTAGCTGTTATCTATTTTAAGTTACTCTCAACCTACCTGCTCATAAGCCATATAGTGTTAGGTGCGAAGAAGTAGCAGCACGTTAATTAAAATTGATTCTGTGTTAGCTACTTGATTGATCAAGAAAACGAATCATGCCAGGTTCTGCTAAGGGAAAAAACACAGCTTTTAAAAAGTTTGTGTGTGTGTGTGTGTTTTAATTAACTAACTCATTTTATTGATTAAGCCTACGTGAAAATCGTCATTCTATTTAGTAGGCTGATCTAGGTCTAATCCTACGTGAAAATCGTCCTTAAAATTCAGTGAAATTATGTTTGATGATTATATGTCTGGTGTAACTGATACCCTCCCCTGTTATGGCTGGTGACAACAGTTTGTTAACATTCAAATGCGTTCCCTTTGTTTTCCAAAATGCCAATAGTTGACGCAATTTCTGAATGTTTCTTTACTAAATACGTTACATTGGGAAATGGCGTCAATGGGCCGTCGTGCGCGAGCTCTTAATGCCCCCCCCCCCGGCACACCTCCACACGGGTTAGACGCTGGGGACCTCACCCCTGGCCGGGGGACGTCCGGTCGATCGAAAACGCTGCGTTCAAAACGTTCGCAGACAAATCTCCCGAGGGTTTAGGCGGGTTTGCTTCCACTCCAGGGAAATGGTGTGGCGTTACCACCCCCCATCGCCCAGGGAGTCTTTCGGTCGGGAAGAAAGCTAGGACGAAATGGTTGCCTTGGAACAGCTTTCTCACGGCTGCATAGCTAAAATCATCGGCATGGGCTTTTCCGCCACCCAGGCCTTATATCCATTAACGGCAACAACTACATGTAGTCATGTTATTGCGTTTACTGCGTCGGGAGTCATGCGGTCGGCCGGGGTTTTTGGCTTCGGGTGAACAAGTCCACCCTACTAGTCTGCCACGAAGAGGCAAACCCCATGTGGACGCCTTCAAGTTTCCTCGGAGACGCTTCAGCTCTCACTGAACGGGATGTTTCTGTACGAGAACATTCGGATTTAATTCCCTAAATAAAGCCACTGGGTTTCCTAGTAGTTAGAGTATTGTGCCTTTATTTTCCAATTGAAGTAAGTTGATACACTTTTTACTATTGTACACACATCTGTATTTGCATAGAAATGTATTTATATAATTAAACTACATTTAGTATCACTAACTTTGTTGTCATTTTTCTTTGCATGCTGTCTGTTAGATCAGTCTTTTGTTACGTATTGTTATGAATACGAGTCATCTATTATAATTAACACAGATTTAATCTACATAACCATTACGGTACGTAACAGTAACAGGTGCGTTTTCTGTTATTTTTTAAAGCTTGTATAAATATTTAGTAGTAGCAAAACTAAGTGTGTATAAATTTTAAGTGGTATATTTAAGTATTTTATTGTTTTGTAATTATTATTATTATTTAATTTTTTTTTTGTTAAATAGTTTTTCTCCAATTGTTTTCTTGATAATTAAAAATGTGCCGTTTTTCAGCCCCGGGTCCCTTTAAACTAAATGCTATTCGGGTGTCATTTGTGGCAGTTCATTTTATTTAAACTGAAGAAGCAAGTTTACAGAATTATAGTCATTTCAGTTATCTTTCATTTGATATCAAATTTTGTCGAACAAACCCAACGATAATATTTTAAATATTAAAAAAAAAAAAAAAAGTTCTCTCACCCTTTTCCGGGTCTGAATACCGTGTCCGAATACCGAATAGCGGCAGCTTAATCACTAAAATCAAAAGGTAACCATTATTCTAATATTGTTAAGTGTACTAATTGGTTTCATACAAATTTCCGTTACAGACTCTAGATATTTTATTTTCTTTCAATTTTAACATGGTAAGCTAAATTATTGTATTAAAATTTGATAAATGCAAAGCAATAAGTTAGCATATTTTGTTTTCGTACATCTAATTTTTCTTGTATTTTCAACATTTCAACTTTTTAATTAACTATTGTCATGGACGCTTGACAGGACATGAATTTCCTCTACCACATTAATTCAATTTCAAACGTTGTTTTTAAATAATTCATTTCCTTAAGACAAAAGTGATTTGCTAGCCATGTTTTTATATTCACCAGGCTTTTAAACTAATCAAATTATAATATTATGGATCAACCTGAATATCTTTCTGCCGAAGAATTGAGAAACAGATTATACCACAGTTTACGGGACCGCGGGCTTGTAGATTCATTAAAGGTAGCCTACTACTACTAAATATTATAAAGTTTTACTAATTTAAATATTTTTAATTAGGCTCAAAACTTAAAACGGTGATATTCTATATAAAGCTTAAACACCACTTCAAATTTTTGTAAATCTTGGATTTCTTTTATGAAAATAGATTGTTTAGACTTAGACTTAGAACTGAAGTTTAAGTTTAGAGTTTAGTTAGTATTCTAAAGGCTAAAACTAAAACAGAAGTGTGATAGTGATTGTACTACTGAACTGAATACTGAATGCACTTAGCCTTAAACTAAATAAATTTCTCTAATGCTTTTCAGTTTGTAATTATCTAATTGCTGTTTGCTAAAATTATTTTTAGTGTTTCATTACAGTTACAGGTAGTTTTAAAAAAATAAAATCCTATTTTTGTTTCAGTCACAACTGAGGAATAGTTTAGTTACTGAATTAAAACAGACAGTTCATGGACCTTTAACAATAAAAGATCTGAAAGTTCCAGAAGGAGGATCTCTCTTGCATAGAGCATCTAACAGTCTTGTTGCAAACCACTTGCGTTCATGTCAGTATGAATATACCCTCAGTGTCTTTTTGCCAGAATCTGGGCTTAATCAAGATAAGGTAAATATACATTAATCAAGATAAGGTAAAGATACATATTGTTATTTATTTTAATTTCATAAACAAATAATTAACTTTGGCTTTTCAATTTTTAATGGCTCTGTTATTATTGGGCCCTAAACAATCTGACTATAAAAAGTTAAATTCCCTTTGGTTAAACTGCAGCATAGTAATTTTTTTTCATTTGAATTGTGAAAAATCTTGGCGCTAATTGAGGTAATTGGAATGAATCTCAATGACATAATTTATTCCACTCAAATGCAAAACTACAGCTTATTATGGAAACAAATTGTTGCTGATGATCGGTGAGACAAAAGCATAAAGATTATCGCTCTACTGTGGTTTAAGCATTAACCCTAGGAAATGTCAGATAAAACCAATGGGGAAAAAAGTTTAAGAGAACCTATTGCAAAATTAAAAATTTGTATGCATGGATTGTGACCTACAACCTTACAATGATAAGGAAGTTAAAAAAGTTGTATGAATTGCAAAAAAATGGTAACAAACCATATCACCAGGAAAGTTATAATTTTGAGCTTGAAATGTGAACATAACAAAATTGTCAGATACATAGTTGCTGGTATTTTTTTTAATAAGGGAGATGGTTATTTATAATAAAATAGATACATGAGCTGTGTCTGTTTACTTGCTGGCAAACAAGAGCAGATACACCGACATATTAGCAACTTTATCAACACATGTAATAATATCAATGTTCAAATATTTTTGTCTGATCAACTCTGATGCATTATTCATTTACAACATTTTTTTTTGTGCTTGAATATTTGTATAGAGAGAGAGTCTAATCACTGTCCTGATATTTTTCACTCTAGAAATTTGAAACTGTTGACCTTCTCAAACTTTTGAACATCAGTCCTCAATCTAGACTTTACCAAAGACTTGTAAGTTATATGTTCATAAAATAGCATTTAATGGGGGTATCATATTTAGTTTAAAGATTTTATGAATGCTTATTAAGGCAAATATATATTTAACATTAGTATACATACTGCATAAGTTCTGTTTATTGCTTTATATTTAAATATTTAAACAATTGTACTTACATTTGTCAGAGTGCACATACCCAACAAGATTCTAAACGAGGTAAGAAACTGCTATTAACTTACGTAAGTTAGGTACAACTCTTATTTCCAGTACTTGATATCTGTTGTCTGGTGTTGTCCTGCTAAAATTATAAAGAGATATATATATATAAATCTAATTTTTTTCATATGTGTTGATACTAGGTCTTATATCTAAAAATTTTCCTTCATTAAAGGATTTTTATGGCAACTGTTATCTGAAGTTTCATCTTTACATGCTAATTCAATCAACAATGTGGGATGCCAAACTGATCTCATCAAAGTGGGACCAATTACACCTCTGGGTAAATAATAAGTCTGCAATCCTAAAGGTCGTTCACACTACCAATTTGTTACTTGGATTTTCAGCTTTCTGTGACCACATGCTATGTGCAAAAATACGGGGCTACTAAGTTTCATTTTCACTGGTTATTGGAGTGTTGCAATATATTGTCTTTTGGCAATATACAGAAGCAATCCTATCATATTTTTATCAATGTGCATGCATTATATTCATCAGACAGATTAAGTAGCATATAAACTGGTCATAAAAAAACTGCAAATCTTTGACAAATGTAGTAATCCGTAATAGCCATAATTTGTAGTTTGAAGTTTTAAATTTGTGAAACAAATTTCATGTTTGATTTTATTGTAGTGGGCTAGACAAGAAAAGGTTTAAGAGGAACAATATCTTGTTTGGAAAAATGAAAGTAAATTAAGTAAAGATTTTAAAAAATTTTCCTTGTGTGCATGGTTATTGGTAAAAGCATACTGGTATTTAAAAGAAAAAAGCCAAATGTATTCATTTAATGAGCCAGAGGTCGCTGACTGTTGTACTGGCACATAAATTTAAAGAGCCACTTGCAGCCACAGGTCGCTTGACTGTTGTACTGGCACATACATTAAGAGAGCCACATGCTGCCACAGGTCGCTGACTGTTGTATTGGCACATTCATTTAAGGTTGATAAATATAAACAAAATTCCTGCATCAGATGCCATAGTTGTCTCTGCTCAGTGTGAACCCTTACATCAAATATATGTCATGTGTCATTTACTCTCAACTTGGATTCTCAAATGGATTCACCACTGTGCTTTCTGGTTGCAACAAATCAGCAGTGTGAACGTACCCTAGGTCATCAATCACATATTTTCAATCTCTGTCTAGACTGATAGTTATCACTGGTTAATATTTTTATCTCAAAACTTATGATCAAATTAGATATCTGAATGATTTAAAACAAATTTTTTTTTCAACTTATCTATAAATATTTACCACACTGTTATGCATGAGTCTGAAAACATTGTCAGAAATTGAATTTGAAAGCTTAATAACTTCAAATAATTTTTCTCTGTTTGAAATTTTTCTTTTAATAAAAATTCAAAGACTTGAGATAATTTATTTTATTGCTTTGGATCCTGTTTAAAAAAATAATAAAATCAAGCTGTTCCTGCGCTTATTTTAATTTACAGATGAAAAACTTTCTGATGTTGATGAGCTGTATGCCTCACGTCGTGATGATTTTCTGCGCACTGGAAGATCTGGTGCCGAGGAAAGACTTCTTAGTTTTCAGCGTCAGTTAGAAGATCGCTATAACACACAACTCAAAATGGAGGTTTGTTTGTTTCCTTAGGATTTTAAAACATTATTTTAATATAGCCGAATGTGACTATTAACCTGCTCTTAGACTAAAGTGTAAAAAAAAAGTTCTGATAAAATTAAGAGAGGACAGATCATTTCAACTCACGATTTAAAGAAATAAAAAAGGTGAAAAAAAATTAATTTCTTTAAAACTTATCTTTGTTATTATTATTTTTGGTTTTCTTTTGAGCTGTTCTACTTATCAATCTTTGGTTTTAAACTCATCAATCTTTCCTTTTACACTTTCTTTCCTCTCCCTTTCAATTTTTCATAAAAAAATAAGTAAGTTAATTCTTTAAAGCATCATCTGGGAGCATCTTCTCAGTGCTCCCCAGCTCAGTACATTAATAAAGATAAAATAGTTTTGTGAATGCAAAGAAAATAAAGTAGATAAATAAAATAATTTCAGTTATCAATAGAAATAAATTGTATGTAAAGAGATTTAGAGCTATACCCCACTGTTTTGTTGTTAATATTAAAATTATTCTATTATGTTCTTTAAGTTGCCTTGGTACCAAAAATCCAGATGAATAGGAGAAATTTTATGAGAAATGTTGATATCTTGATAACGAAAATAATTGTCCTTTTACATTTTAAATTCCATTTTAAAGCTTGCAAGAATGCGGGACTCAGAGATAGCAACAATGAAAATTGAAGAAAGAGAAAACGGCAGAAAAAGTTTAGAACAAGCCAGGAGAGAGGTAAATTTGTTATTTCTTTTCAAATTTGTTGAGATCTGTTTTAATTACTTAATATGGGTTTACACCATTTGATTCTTGTAATTGATATCATAATAATCTATACGTAAATCTTTAAATAATCTCTATGGGAATGTTGAAATAATCAATTTGTAAATGTTTAAATAATCTATACGTAATTGTTTAAAAATACTCAGATGTCCTCTAAAGCAGTGTTTCCCAAACTTTTAAGATGGGGAGAGTGGTGAACAAGTTTCAAATTGCACCAGTGCCAGATGAATTACCTTTCTTTCTTTTCTTTTGACCATAAATATTCACATATTGCGGACTGGCGCCAGTCAGCTGACCACACTTTGGAAACACTCCTTTTGGAGAAAAGAATTCCTTACATTTTTAATTTATTTTTAAACAAAAAAAAATATTTTAAAAAAGAAAAAAAAACAGAGTTTTTGGGGAGGCCTTTCAATATTTTTAACAAGGGCTGTTTAAAAAAAAATTTAATGCAATTTTTATAGCACATAGCTGAGAAAACAAATTAAAAACAACATTGGACAGAATGGGGTAAGAACCTAAGACATTCACATTGCCATAAGGAGGACTTTAAGCAACCAGCTGTAAATTTCTATATATTTAGTATACATGGAAGTTATTACGCTTATTTAAAACTTTTGTGATTATCAAAGATAGGTGTTGCATTGACAGCCATCTTTATTTTGGAATAAATAATTTGAGGGATTCATCAAGCTTTAATAATTTGGAATGTACTCCGAGACTTTGTAGCAATTTTCAGTTAGCTGTTGAAGACAGCCATTCAAACAAGTCGAGTGTAATTCAAGTGTAATTTCACCAAGTAGCCTAGTGTTTGTGGTACCAGCACTGACCATCTTGCCGTTATTCTTATCTTTTTAAAGCTGGAGAGAGTGTACAAAGACAAGTATGATGCCCTTGTTATTCGAGAGAGAAATACCTTGGAGCGACTGCAGCAGCAGACAGAGGTATTGCCAGCCACCATGTGAAGCACTGGGTCATAAAAAAACATTTCCCATTTGAAAGGAAACAAATAAATCATCTGTTTGTTTTTCTTAAAAATTTTAATTATGATTTGTCGCGCTACAAGGTTTAGTTTAAACTATTTGAAATCTTTTTTTACTGAAACTGCATCTGTTCATTTTTAATAAAAAATACAAGCTGGATAACACGTCAAACACCAACAATTACCAAATTTCTAAAAAATAGATGCAAGAGAGAGAAATGCATGCTCAGCGCCAGTCTATTCTAGAGGAAATAGAAGCTGTCAGGCAGAGAGAAGCAGAAGTGAAAAGAGAAGCTGAAGTCAACAAAAGGTAAAATGGTTGTTAATTGGTAGAATTGTTGATAGTTTCACTGATGATCCTCGAATTAACCTCTTTGAGCAATTAGAATTCTTTCCTACATGCACCAATCACTGCCCCCATTTCATGTTAAATCCAGGGAGAAGAGGTTGACGGAAGACCGGGTTAAAGATAAAGAGAGTGATGTCCGCAGACGGGAGCTAGAAGTGCAGCAAAGAGAGACATCGTTTGAACAAAAGTTACAGAATGAAATGGCCCAGTAAGTAGAACAGTGAATGTAGTTGCCTTCCCAGATCCAAAACATTTGAGTATTGACCAATTAAAAATAAGGGGGGTGGGGGGTGTCGGTCGGGCACTGAAAAAAGAGTCACAGTCATCTCACTGTAATTATGTATCTCAATACATGTCACTATAATTGAATATCTGGGCTCACTGTCTGCCAGCAATTTTTTAACTTAGCTTGATGCTTGCCCATTGTTGCAGAAATAATAGTAGGCCTGGAGAGAAGTAAATATTTCTAGTTTGGATTACAGTTGGTCTACATTTGTTCTGTAATCTTAAACGACACACTGGTTACATGGATAGATTATTGTAACAAAAACTCACAGAATTGAAACATTGCAGTGAGGATGGAATTAGTGAGGTGAATAAGGATAGACATATCAGAATAAAAGATTGGAACTTTCTATGGGTGTGTTAAGAGATTAATTTTTTTTTCTTAAATTCTAAATAATTATATTGTCCATTTATCAAATTTCTTTCAATTTGGGAAAGTAAATTTGTACCCAAAAATTAATTTCAGATTTAAATTGGATCAGCAAGCCAGGTTTATTGAGAGAATTCAAAATGTAGAAGTCAGGGAAGCAACATTAAAAGGTGAGGTTACTGGTTTCCTTTGAACTTACCATTGAAACAAAAATACTATAATTTGTTGTGGAAACCCTTTACAGGTCTCATAAAATTATTGTCTAAATTATTAAGCCTCAAAAAATAAATAAATAATATAATCTACTTTTCTTATGAGTAGGGCAATGAATAGCAATTACTTCTTTATGAATATTTTGGTTTATTTGGTTGTTGAACAGATCTGGATTTTTATAAAGCAATGTGTTCTCTTTTATCAATTAGAGCAAGAGAGGATTGTGTCTGAGGAGAAAGCACGATTACAACAAATCAAGGATGAACTCAGAGACAAAACTCATAGAGTTAATGAATTAGAGGTAACTACTTTGATTTTTAAAATATTTTTATCTTTTACATTTGGACAGAACTATAGAAGAAAAATAAATGTTCAGCATCTGCATTTTTTCCTCATATTGCATTTTTTTAACTAGAAAAATTTATTATCTTACGAAAATGTTCTGTATTTTTTCTAGACCAAGATTTCTGAAGCTAAATACAGTGAGATAGATGCAAACAAGAACAATGAATATCTCAATGCAAAACTAAGAGATGTATGTTTTCTTAAAATTTATTATTTTATTAAACCATTGAATTCTTGCATGGAAGATGTAATATAATTCAAGGGTTGGTGTGCTGTGTTTTTTTTTCTCCCTCCCTCTTCACTTTTGAACATGGTTCTCATTAACCATTGAATTCTTGCATGGAAGATGTAAAATAATTCAAGGGTTGGTGTGCTGTGTTTTTTTTTCTCCCTCCCTCTTCACTTTTGAACATGGTTCTCATAAAAGTTTTTGTTACAAAAAAAAAAAAAAAAAAAAAAAAAAAAAAAAGCAGAAGAGATTTCACAGTGAAGTCATTCAAAGGAGCAACAAATTCTCTTCGTACCATTTAAAAATGTATAACATCAATGCAAATTTCTAATGATTGTGGATCCTTAATTTTCTAAGTGTGCAATCTGCAACAATATGTTTTTTTTTGTTTTTTTAAGGTATAGAAACTTTTTGAGGACTTCAGTTAACACAGAATGCCAATTAATAATGGGAAAGGTTCATTTACTTAAACTTTTTTTTTTTTGCTGTTAATAAATGAACAAAAAGAGTTCTTCACTTTTGGCAATCCTGTCTTTTGTTTTAACTGATTTGCAATTTTCTCATCTATCTGGTAACAGATGTCTGATTACAAAACATTGAAAGAACAAGTTATATTGTATAGAAATGAGCTTGAAACTCTAAGGACGTAAGTCATTAAAAGTGTTAGTATAAAAATGAATACATAGATCTAATTCTTTAGGTTTATATATCAAGTATATTATTTTTTAATAGATCAAATAGTTGCACATTAATTACATATAAATCTAATACATGTATATTAATTACAGCTCGATTTCATGATAGATTCGGATTTACCTATAAATATTAAATAAAGTGGAAAAAAGGTAATTAATTAATTAAACTATTTTATTCTAATGCCACTTTTCTTTTTGTCTCCTGCAGACGTTTAGCTGAGGTTTTATCTATGAACGAAAGAGAGAGGGGAAGTAAGTTAAGATTTTAAAAGTGATTTCGACAAATCTTACCATGTTTAAATATTTAACTTAAAGTTACTGATCCAGTCATAGTAACGTTCACTTCCAAAACTTGACTGAGACAAACGTAACACATTTAAATAGATGGTTATTCAAGGCCTATTGTTAAAATAAGCATTTCATGTCTATAATTGAAAATATTTTGTTTTAAATTAAAATAAGCAAAAGTGAATTGTCTTGTCAGGACAAGAGGAGTTGTTAAGAGAGTTACGTAGACCTTCCCCTGAATCACTCATGCTTCAGAGAGATCTTGAGAGGGCCAAGGAAAGTCTAAGACAGGAGCAGCTAGTCTTTAATCAGCAAAAACAATTGCTAGAAATTAGACTGAAAGAGGAGGTAATTGATGTGTAACCATCCTATGATATGTTAACAAAGGGAATGAATATTATAGCAAAAGGTGATGCAATATTCAAAGACAACTTCTTTCAATTCTTAAAGGGTGACAAAAATCATTACAAACATTCATTACTTGTACATTTGTTTATTGAATATCAGATAACAGATTAAAAGTTTAAATAAAACAGTCTTTGAATTTCTAAAGCTTGACAGAAACAAAGATCTTATGCAAAGGTTTGAAGAGCAGATGCTACAAATGAAAGAAATGAATCGAGAAATTGTGGACTTAAGGCAACATTTACACATGACAACTAAAGGTAGATCTCTTAACTTATTGCAGATTTCATATTTTTATCGTAAGGAGAGTTATGTTATTTTGTATGACAATTGAAAATATTTTCATTATTTTTAAAGGAACTGTTTAACCTGTTATATAAAATTGTTAATGAGTTTTCTATTTTTTTAAAAAATTTTTTAGCTTTGAATAATGAAGTATACAGAAAGCCAGATGATGGTCAAGATGAGTAAGTTCCTTAACAATTTGCGATTATTTTCATGTACTTTTAAATTCACATATTTTTCCCTGAGTAATGGAGTAAACAAATGAAATGTTAATTTTTTTTTAAAGTTTCTAAAAAAAATTACTATTTTTAAAAATATAAAATTTATGTCAAAATTCTGACTCATGGTATAATATAATGTCTCACTTTTCCAAGACCACAGCGGAATGACCTCAGAAGGTCTCAAAAGGCCCACAACTCCAACGAAAATTCTGTAGATTTTAACCTGGATGTCTCAGGGCCACGAAGGTCACTAAGGTTTGAGCCTGACCCCAAAGAAGTTTACCATGATGTGGATTTTGGCCTAGGCTCAGTGTATCAACCAAGGGATGGGGTCTACTTTGATGATGATCAGTCTTCATCAGACTCCGCAGACATCATTGCTCAGGCTAAATACAGGCTGAAAAGTCTTGACCATGAAGCTCATGTAAGTATATCTAGCAGTTCTTTATTATTTATTTTATTTTAGTGAATTAACATTAAGTTATTGATTTTCAATCATCAAACCAAAATACAGCAAGCCAATTGCATTTTTCTGTTAAAAATATTTTCTTAACTCTTCAGAATCTGGAAAAGGCATATCATGACTTTCACTGTCGTATGACAAATGTCAATGCCCTGCCTGCAGAACCACAGCCAGTAATTCCTTCAGTAACCAGGAATTCTGGTGAGGCTAGTTGAATATTAATATATAAAATTCAATATTAGTTTAGCATTAGATTAAAAGGCTTTTATTTTTTTTAATATTGACAATAATTTTTAAAAAAAATGATAGTTTAAAATTTTAACCAGGTTGACACAGAACTTTAAATGTTCATAAAGTTTTTAAAATAAAATTTTTGATGACTTAAAGTTGTACATTTATAATGACTTAAAGTTGTACATTTATAATAATGGTACTGGTGAAAACCATTACTTTATTGTAGTATACCTAAGAGTTTTTAATTTTCAAATTAAACTATTTTTGTGTGTGTTTTTATCCAAAAATATTGAAATAGCCCCAAAACAAGATGTTATAATGAGGTCACCAGTACACAGTCCAATACCTTTTGATAATCCTATGTCATCAACACCCTACAAGCAGCCAAGGAAAGCCCAGGAATTTAATGGTTTGCTCTCTTTAGTCATTTGCAGAGGCAGTTTTAATGTGCTTTGTTTCTTTTAACCACTGTGCTCCTGAAGGAGGTAATTTTTAAAACTAAGTGTATGATGGTAAAGACTTTTTGTGTATTATAGAAAATGATAAGGAATATTACAAAAATCTGTTAAATGTTTATTTTAAAAATGTATTATTCTTTTTGTTAAATATCAGATAGCTTTGCAGAACTTGGCACTCCACATCTGATACAGAGAAAGGCCACTTCACACCAGGATCAGTCACAAAGGAGTCATAGCATAGCAATAGACCAGAAAGAATAGTAAGTTTAAATTTTCTTATTTTTGGCTTTACAATAGAAATAAAACATGGAACAATGTTACCCTATTTAGATCAGTGTTCCGCAAATGGTTGTGCTATGACCGGCACCTGTCTGCAATCCTTGCTGACCAGCATAACATGAATATTTATTGTCAAATAGATAGAAAATATAATCATTCAATCTGGCGCTAGTCCCTGGTTCAGTTTTGAAACTTGTCCACCAGACTTTTATGTTTTTTGGGAAACACTGCCATTTTTGGAGAATATTTCACATTTGATATTTTAAAATACTTGAGCTTGCGCTATGTAAATCCTTCAAACAATATATTATTAATCATTTTAAGCTTCAGTGAAAAACCTGTTGTTCAGAAGAGATCCATAACAGTAGATGATTTAGAACAGAGGCCCGGATCACCACCCATAATGGTCATAGCAGAATCCATATCAAGTGATGAAGGTTGGTGATCAAGTTAATTAATTAGTTCTGACCAATCAATAATGTTTCTTAAAAATAATTTGCCTAATGACTTTTCTCAGGATTTGAACTGACTTACATGCCACAATATAATAGTCCTGCAGCCTTGATTTTGCCATTTTGTTTTATAACAGAAGTAAAAAATAAAAAAGGATATTGCAAAATAAAAAGATATGAAACAGTTATGAAGTATTATTTGTCACAAATAAAGGTAAACAAAGTATTTTATTTTTAAAAATCACTTTAAAAAATCAAGCACATTATTCATTTAATCATTTTCTTTCTTGCCATTTTCTGTTACAGGTAAAAGAAATTTAAGAACAGATACAGGCAAATTCGATACTATTGATGCAGTTTACACCTCGATGCCTGATAGCCCTATTGAAACTAAAGCTGATCCTGTCCTCCAAACCCAACACTTTTCTCTTGATTCTGCCTGGAAAACTCAGACACGGGAAGAAGAGCAAGCTGGTAAGAAGCAATTTGGGAACCTTCAAACTAAAGACTGTAATTATAACTAAATGGTTAAACATTGCAAAGCATTAGTAAAAATAGCTGCAATAACAACAAAGTTGCAAGTACTGAGATAGGAAGAACAAAAGAAATGCTTGCTGCACCAGGGAAATTGATGGATTAACCAGATCAATCAGATTATTTTTCTTTAAAAAACAAAAATCTAAATTTTGGATTTTGAAATTAAATTGTCTGTTTTTGTTTTTTAAAATATTAAGTTAAAACTTATGTACTGTATCATGAAACTTAAATGTATTTTATTCTCATTGAAAGCTTCTATTCTTTTGATTTTCTAAGTAAGCTTACAAAAGTTATTTACATATTTCAATGTTTTAAATTGAAAAATATAATGATATTCTTAATTTTCATTTTGCAATAAGAATATAGGACAAAGAAAGAGATGGAGGAAGAAAACAGACAAGGGGAAGGAAGACTGGTGGAAGAAAGGTTGGACAGAGAAGAGAAAGGCTGGAAAAAGGAGCCAGAAAATGTTGAGGTTGGAATCATACATAGTTTGTAAATATTTTTAATTACACTTCAGAATGATACTTTAATATATCAATAAAGGGCTTCCCACTTTAATTATTTGCTAATGACTCCAAATAATTTTTTTGGTTGAATTTCTTATTCATATATAAGTAAAGAGCTAATGTAGATGCATAACGCTGCTAATTTAGATGTGTAAGGCTAGTTCTTATAAACAATACTGATTTTGTGTTAATTTACGGAAATCAAATCAAATTAGATCTGATAAAGTATATCTGCTTTTATGCAAGGATATGTAATCTTTAATAATATTTAAGTATTTTTATGAATTAGAAATAAATGGAATTTTCAAAAAAAAAATTAAAAATTGAAGTATTTATCTGAATCTAAGTGAAAAAGTAAAAAAAATGTTATTCCATTTGTACAAAACAATTATGATACTCTCAAAGTGCCTATAGAGGAGATGGACACAATGATATCATCTGTGTAATACTATTATTTATTTGAAATTCAATGTAATTTAACATTATAGTAGAGGTATAAACCTCAAGGTGAGATTGTATTTTGTATAAAATAAAAGGCACTCTATTATAACTATACCTGAAATTAAAATGTAAAAATACTTTTCATCCCAATATTATATTTATATTGCTTTAACTTTAAGGTAAGATGATCTTGGTGGGTGTATGTATGGTCAAATGATGAAATCTGAATAAATTTTAATGGCTCAAATGACCCGCAAATCGCGAGCATTAACTTTTCTAGAAAATCAAAGTCTAGAAAATTAGTGTATAGATAATTTGAAATAAATTTGTAAAATATTTATTGTACTATTTTATGTGTTTAAATTTCAAGGGTAATGAAAATTTAGCACCAAAAAAAGTAGGGGGGGGGGGTGTGTGTGTGTGTACATTTTAATATAATATCAGTATTTCAAAACTGGATTGTGTTACAGACTGAAATATGGGTATGGATTTTAATTTCAAAATGGATAACCATATTCTAAAATATAAGGAAATAAGCGGTTAACTATTTTTTAAAATAGAAAAATGAAACAAATTGCATGGTAAAAGGGAGTTGGGACATTAGAATATATAGTTCAGGGTTAAGCAACATGTCCAATGTGTTACCTTAGTGTTGGAAAGTGCAGTTGGATAAGATTTTCTTTGAAACTAAGGACATTATAACTTTACCATTTTTCCAAATATACAGTTCAATGGTGAGGTAAGGGGTGGTCACATATTTAACATTATGTTTATATGATGAAATTAATTTTTAAAAATAGCTAAATTTTTTTTTTTTTCCCCAAAATACAGTTAAGGGGCCTGAACAAGTAGGAATTATGATTTTCTTTAAATATAATATAAGGAAATATTTGTTTTTGTATTTTGTGCAAAATACAGTTTAGGTGCATGGGAAATTTATGAGATAAAGAGTAGTAAATACATAAGATTATTTCACTTACAGTTACAGACAGGAAAATTGAAGATTTGTCTTGAACTTTAAGAATTCTGTTTTTAATCATTTCTGATTATATCCTTTTAAAGTTTAAGGACATGTTTTTAAAATTTTAAGAAAATATGTTTTCTTTGTACCTTTACTGGTAGTTAATGGGCGTGGAAAGGGGTTGAATTGATCTATATTATTTAGGAGAATAAAAACAATTCTCAAACTCCAATGATGTGTGAAACGTAAATATCTATGCATTGATTCTTCTTTAAAAATTATTGAAAGTTTAATTGACTATTTCCTAATAATACCATACAAGGGCATTCAATTAAAAAATGAAATTTTTGAGGATTTATCAAAACTCTGTTCAGATACATATGTAAAAATTGGAGTTTTAGATTTTGAGACTTCGCTACAACAGGTGAAAAGTCATTACTACCCCTGTAACACCAGTTTACATTTTCTAGTTCTATAATAATGTCACAGGCTCCTGCAGCAGCTGCAAGTAAAGAAGACAATGACGATGATAAGATTGATCCAGTGATGAAACAATACATGGCTATGGTGCAGCAGCAGAAAGAAAAGGAGAAACAGGTTTGTGGGTACCAGTTCAATCCCTTTGGTAATAATGTAAAGCCATGTAAAACTTTTAGGATAATGCAAGGCAGTGAAAATGTTATCAGAAAGCTTTAGAATCAGAAAGCTTTAGAAGCTTTCATAAGTGGAGAAATATGTAAATAACAGAAGTAAATAATACAAAACCACACCCCCCCCCCCACCATTAGCATTAAATTAAAAAATCAAAGCCCATTTACAAATTTGTATTTACAAAGCAATAAATTTTTTTTTCAGTATTGTTTATTTTTAAAGTTTTGTTTAGATTAATTTGTTTCAACGTCTTTCTTTTTAATATGTAAAAAACAAAAGTAAAAAAAACAAAACCCCACCCCCCCCCCCACCATTAGCATTAAATTAAAAAATCAAAGCCCATTTACAAATTTGTATTTACAAAGCCATCAATTTTTTTTTCAGTATTGTTTATCTTTAAAGCTTTGTTTAGAATAACTTGTTTCAACGTCTTTCTTTTTTTTCGCCACTCATTTTAACAGCTTGCTAAAGCCACAAGCGGATCTAAAGGAAAGTTACAGGTACATCTTGTAGATTTATAAAAATATAACATTATAAATATAAAATTGTGGTTTTAAAGCACATATGGGTATGAATTAGGATGACTACCTTTGCAATAATTAGTAATGATAAAAACATTTATTTTATTCAAAATATTTTATAATCATTAACTAGTTGATAACTAATTAATTTATGAATTTAAACTAAATTGTTTTATTGTCTAATTTTTTTTTTTTAAATTTACTGCAGGATAAGACTCCATCTCAGTCTGAATCTGAAGAATTGTCAGTTGCAATTGATGATAAAACGTAAGGGGGCAAAAATCTTTTTAACATTCTATGGTCTTTATTCCTATCAGGTTCTACAGTTTGCATTGACTACTATTTCAGTGGGAACACATTAATTAATGATTAATTTTGTGTTCCACTAAGTTTATTCACTATCTGATTCCATCTAAAAGATTTTTACATTATTACAGTTGTGTCCCTAAAAGTGAGACTATAATTTTATAACATTATGGAAATATTGTAAATATTTTATCTTAATTTAAAAAAAAAGAAGCTTCTACTTTAAAGGCCAGAATATCAAACTGTTTTTGTTAATTGCCAAGACCCTAACAAAGAATCATCAGGATTCAAGTGTTAATAATTAATAATAAAAAAATTGGTATGGTGTCTGGTAAAGCAAAGGCTAACATCCAAGAGATGTCAAACACAAGAGCAATATTGTGCCAACCAATTTTGAAGAGCTTTGAGGTAAAACTGTATTAAATTAAATTGTTTCATGTTTTTCCAACATAATTCTCTAAAAGTAATGCTTTTTAACTGTATTGTGATTTAGGTAATATTTAAAAAAAGAATAATTTCTTTCAGGGAACATGATGATGATTTCTCCTCCTGGTGATTATATTACAAGATGTTTAAAGCTCAAACAGGAACATTGGAAATATTTATTTTATTAATAACTGTTTAAAAAATTTGCATTGTAATAAATGATGGTATTTTCATATAAAAAAAATTATTACAATTTTTGAAAATTAAAATTCAGATTTATAAACATGAAAATATATTATTTAAAAATTTTGTTCACACTGTTATTTTGGGTAATTAATTTGCTACTATTTAATTGATTACATTTCCTTTAAATTTAAATAAATATTGTCCTTTTAAAATATTTTGTTAGTATTGTTCATCAAATACTTTAAAGAATTATCTGTAATTTTAATTATTTGATATTAGTTTATGAATTACAATTTTTTTTTAAACAGCTGAGTCTGTGATAAACTGTCATATAAATGTACTACATATTAATTATTGAATGTATCAAAAGATTTCAACAAACCTGTGAGTGTAATATGAAATATAAATGTAGTGTGAATGAAAATGTATATTTATAATTCTTGATAAAACTATAAATATATGTAACTATATTTTTAATTATTTAGTTAAAAGGATTTCTCAGCATAAAAATACTGATTTCACACAAGACAGTGGGCCACATAAATAATTTTTTTCAACATTGTGTATTTAATACATTAGAAACTTTGATAGTTTATAAGGGATTTCATATTGTTTAATATCTGCCAGCATACAGTTCTATCAATAAAACAAAAGCAAAATGTGAATTGTATGGTTTTTATTTACTTAAAAAAAAAAAAAAGAAAAAAAAAAGAAATCACTAACTGAGAGAACATATACAGTGGGCAAAATAAATAATTTTTTTCAACATTGTGTATTTAATACATTAGAAACTTTGATAGTTTATAAGGGATTTCATATTGTTTAATATCTGCCAGCATACAGTTCTATCAATAAAAAAAAAGCAAAATGTGAATTGTATGGTTTTTATTTACTTAAAAAAAAAAAAAAGAAAAAAAAAAGAAATCACTAACTGAGAGAACATACAGTTCATGTGACACACTTAGCTATCAGATACCAAATCAAATGTAGAAATATTCCTCTTGTCATAACAGTATCACAAAAAGCACTTAAAGACATCCATCTACAGTCATTCATTCATTTAATTAAAACTTCATCTGTTCACTCTTTTCCAGCCTGTGACACTGTAAGGATGAGAAGAGAACAAAAATTATTATATTTTATTTAAACTAACTTCAATTCTTCTATGGATTGGTCCACACAATCTACCAAATATTACAACTGGCATCATTATTTTTAATAATTACTTTCATGTGCTTGCTGTTTAATTTTTCATATAGTGAATAGGCAAAGTATGCAGCAAATCTCTTGATTCAGGAAAGCGCTATATAAATGCTTGCCAATAGGCTGGTTAATTTCTTTTTGTCATACAAGTTAGGTGACTATGTATTCTGAAAGTAAAGATACAGTGACCAATTATGTTTTCTGAAATTGCAGTTACAAACTTAGTGGGCTTTATATAATCTATGCAAGTAGGATGAATAGACCCAAAATCAATTACAATCTCATTATATTTTTAGAACATTCCATACAAACAGAAAACCAATTGAAAAATGAAAGAACTGAACAAAATAATCCTAAAGGAAAGAACAAGTTCACCTTCATGCTGAAATTTAGCTGTGGGAGAATATAATTTTTAGTGTAAAGAGAAAGTTATCAGTAAGTTCATGCAGAAGCATGGATTAGAGAAGGGCACATGTATGTGTTATTTTCTGCTACAGTGTAACATGCAATAATGTCATCCAAATAAAGAAAGTTTAAATTCCACTCATGAATCAGTTTCAGTACAACACCTAACAAATCTAATGCTGCGCATTTTACCCAATAAATATATATGTATCTATATATTTTTGGATGCTATAAATGTGTAGTAGTATTAGTCCACTTCAATTGTAAAACAGACTGTTCTACAAAGACAAAGACATACACAATCATAATGTACTTCGGCTAAAAATTTAGAAAATAACGAAAGGTCCAATCTTGTAAAGAAATGGCATCCAAACTAATATCAAATACTGTTAACACAATGGTGAGGATTTTTCGTTCAATTTAAAAAAAAGGATGTCACACCATGCGTAGATGAACCTGATTTTACTCAGTTCATACCAGTAATTTAGTTGACCAATTTTCCATCTGTAGATTAAGTTTAAATAATTATTAGAAAAGGTAGAGTATGTTTAAATAACAAAGAGTGTGAGAGATGTATGTATGCAAGAAAATCGGTTTGTCATCTAACATTTCAGACAAAACTAATAGCCCAAGTTTTGGGGTTTTTTTTAACTTACATTCCCTAAAAATTTCAGAATTTTGTATGGTACTTCTATAAATGTGGAATAACAGACTTGCAGATGATTTATTAATAGAAAAATGGATAAACAGAAGTTTTCAATTTTAAAATAACTGCAGCTTTTTTGCTGCACTTGCACTTTTATAATCATTTACTCCATGCATGACACATGTCATAATTTGAGAGAGTGTTGTTTCTAAATAAAACAAATTTTGTTTAAAAAATGAAAACATCACCTTCTGGATTCCAGTTTAAACAAAGTGAATTAATTTCAGCCTCATTTTCATTTAATTCATATAATTTCCAGCTTTAAGAAAACAAATGAATAGACCATGGTTTAATGTAACTTTCAAAAGACCTTATTATATAAACTAAAAATTGAGTTTCATGTGAAGGACAGATAAAGCCAACCAAATGATCTTAAAATATTTTTTCCCATTCAACAAAGCAAAGTGAAAATAAATGTTTAAAATATTTTCAAAATTAATTTATTCTCTCAATAACTCACACTGACTTACCTGTTTTCACAATTTTGCCATTTTCCCATTTAGCTGTCTTAATGCCTGATACATCCCTCCCAAACACAATAGTTTTATGTGGTTCCTTAAGGGCTTGCCTTACTACTCTTGCACATATCTGTGAATAATTGATGTAGCTGTGGGTAGAAAGAATCATTTATTAATTGGTAGTTTAGGTGAAATGACATTCATTAAATGAAAATTCTGTCAACTTTTCTGCAACGCCCCAACCAGTATCATCCACTTGATGTTTCCTTGGGTTCACCAGATGCATGGAGGGAGGAGATTTTATGAGCTTATTCTTCTAAAAACAAATCCCAGGCCTTGTGATCTCATCTTGCTAAGTCTAAACCATTGACACATTGTGATGTAAATATGAAAAAAAAAAATTACTGAGTAAGAAATGTTGAACTGGTTGATTAAGCAACAACGATGCGCATGTAATCTGATTCAGGCAAAAACTTATTACTTAAACTATTGAATCAAAACTATTAATCATATGAATCCGAATGATGACAACCGATTAAAATTATTCATGTCGACTTTTTTTAGCAAATATTTCAGGGAAATTAGTGTGGTGGTCAGCTTATAAACAGGTCATAGGAGATTTTTTTATAATTTTATCCAGATATCTTGATTCTATTATAGAAAAAATGAAGTCCATTTATAAAGCAGAATGCAAAACTGGACGTGTGCAAAATTCATATATTATTCTTACAATCCACTCACAAACTTAAATTGTCATATTTCATAAGATCACAATATCAGTTGAAATCCATCTCTGAAATAGTCAGGTACCAGGTTCCAACCTTAAACCAGTATAATCAGATCTGCACTTATACAAACTTGTTTCTAGAACTAGAAATGATCACAATGGTTACTGTGTATACTGAAAGACATGCAAAGCAAGTAATAGTGTGTTATACAATGACATACTACTGTATTTTTATAAGCTTTTAAGTCTCTTTTACTTCCACAATATGTATTTTATAAAAGTCGGATTAAAAAAAAAATTTCTTTATTTGCCTTCCGCATTACTTCTACTGGCATATTGTTTTATGGGGTCGGCTCATGAGCAGGTCTAACACTTTCTGGCTTTTCTCAGTCAAAACTAAGGGTGGTGGTTTATGAACAAACTGGCTTAAGAAACAGTTTTAAAACGGATTTATAAAACCGAAAACTGGTTTCTCAAAAATTCCAGGCTTATCACCCATTGTTAAAAAACAGGAGGTATTTTAACATTAGTTGTCTCCAACAAAGTGACATCACAAGTTGAATGTCTCTACAGTACAATAAGTTTTTAACATTTTTGTTTGTTTGTATGACATGATTTCTGAAATTAATAGTAGCTATGCGTACCCGGGTCCCTTTAGACTAAATCCCATTCAGATGTCATTTGTGGTAGTTTATTTTAGTTCAACTGAATAAGTAAGTTTACAAACATATACTCCATTCAATTATCTTTCATTTGATACCTCATTTTGTCTTACAAACCCAACAATAATATTTTAAATAGTTTTTTTTAATCCCAACCTCTCACTTCTGATACCCGGGTGCGAATAGTCGCAGCATTTAATATTTCTATCAAATTTTTATATTGACAGATGCCTTATATTATAATGACATAGGATTTTCCCCAATTAAAGTTGATATAACGAAAGATACAACTCATTGTCAATGGGAATGCAGACCAAGATGTCTTGCAATGTGAAAGGAGGGAGTCAGAACTTAATTATGGGCCAAATGGACTCAAGCATCAGTTATTAAAAATTACATGTAAAAATTAAAAACTCTGATTTTATTTTATTTCCAATACAAATAAAGATGTAGTCTCCCTTTTGTTACCCAAGTACCTAAATTTAACTTTTAAGTTTTATTTCTAAATTTTTTTAGTGTGTCAGTGAATAGTCTGAATAGTAAGATGAGACAAATGGATGAGTGAGAGTGCTACTACCACTAGTAGGGGTGATTTAGTCTTAATCCTGTTACTCACCCACTAAACACTCAGTAAGTCAGAACTTACACTACACTAAACACACGCACATTACCCACACAAACTACTCATACAGTTAACTTTTATTTATAACTTTAAGTTATAAGTTATAGTCTAATAGTTATAGGTACTTACATTTTTATATAATAATAATTAACCCACGATTTCCTCCTCCCAAACTGTGTCGGCTGATAAAAACGGCAGCTACAAAATGCGTTGAAAGAATAAGTTCCAGTCCAATATTTTACACCAAATAAAACTACTTCCTTTTATTAATAAACGAACTTCCGTTTTTTCGCTCTTCTGTGTCCTTTTTTTAAACTTTGGATTTTTTATTTTTTCAAGCAAATTTTTGTCGTTAGATTTTCGCGAAGTGGATCAGCCCATAGCTGAACCACCTGGTTTACAAAATATATCAGTTTGGAATCTTTTAGAAAATTCTTTCTAGCCAATGACTTAAGTGTTCGGAAGAGGATTTGCCGATCACATGCGAAAACAATGATAATTCTGATTATTTTTCTAGTGAGTCTAGTGTCAGAAAGCGAAAGTTCAGACGATTTGGACCTAGGCCTAGAATGAGTAGGAGTTGCCGCAACAATATGACTCGTTCAAAACTATGTTGCAGATGATTTTGTACCAATAAAAATAATTGGATGTTGTTCTATATATGTTTTCTTATATTTTATTTTATAGAATAAATATTTATATGGCAGCTTTTTTAAATTTAATTTTTTTCTTGCTTTTTAGTAATGTTTACATTGTTTATGAGTTTATGTCGTGCTTTGTTTCTTTCTTTTAAAAAATCTATTATAAATAAAACATATGCAAATAATATATTTTCTGAAAGCTAAATAAAAATGCTATCATATTATATAAAAATTATTATGATATGCCTTCAAAAAATTGCAGTTTGAGGTCCTTGAAAAGAAAAATTTTCTTTATTCTTAGTCACTCCAAGGTCAAGGTCAGCGAGTCTAAAATATCATTAAAAAATAGCCAGTATGATTCCCCACCCAGTCTACTTTCAATAAATTTAAAATATATAATTTATGGGTTCTAGCTATGCTATAGACTATAGTATTTGCATGTAAAACATCACATTTTTCAAAGGCACACAAAAAGCTCTAAATTGCCTGCACAGAACAGAAACATACAAATACAATGGACAGTTGCTGGGTTAAATTTAAAGTAGGTAAGTTAAGTACTGGTACTTAAGTAGGCTAGATACTTCGGTAAACCAAGGGAGGCTACTACTTTTTGTGTATCGGAAATGGCAATCGGCGCCGAAAAATCCTAGTTTTTAATTTTCCAATGTGTGTGTCTATTTATTATTAAATGAGTGCTTTCTATATATATTTGAGTTCCGTTTCCGGCCTTATAATTAGGTAGACATGTTGGCCTACATTTACATTGCTTTTTATAAATTTTTCAATCGACCTGTATTTTGAGATTCCCCTGTAAATATAAGGCATCTTTCACTATAAAATTCGTATAGAAGTTCAACCTTTATGTCTTTAAAAAAAAGTCTTATTCTGTATTATCTATCGATGTGTATTTGTGTCAATTCTCATTGAGTTAGGACATGTCGATCACTTGTTATGCTCACTTGAGTGAACCCCTATATGGTAATGTAGCTCAGCCCAATTTCGATAAGGAAGTGGCCACGCCCCCTTTCAGTGGCGGAAGACGCCGTTACTTAGGAAATATTTAATTATTTCCACTATTTACATCAAAATATTTGATAACTTATGTTTTAGAATGAATTTAAATGTTATTGAAAGAATAATATTTTAATTTGAGGTTAAAAAACCCGGTAGAGTCCATATTATACATGATCAAAATTCGCCGTGTGCAAAATGTCATGGCAGCCATTCACAGTGACTTGCATAAGGGCTATTATTTACTACTATCTCAGAGATTTCATTCATAAAAGTTTGCCGTGTGCAAAAACTATTCAACTAGGTCAGGGAAAGCTTTAATTAATTAGTCATGTAACAAAGTTGAAAGTTCAATAGTTCCCAAACAGTATTTTCGTAATTAGGGCATGAGTTGCCTTATATAGACTATATAGCAAATATTGGTATAATGAACGTCGTAGATTTGGTAAACAGAAAAGCCATATATTAATACATTATATTAAATTTACTGATAGAAATAATGCATAGTTAGATAAGCTAAAATTTATCTATAATTGTTAACATTATTAAACTTATTTTTTTAATACAGCATTAGTTCTGAAAATAAAATTATCATTAAAACAAGAGTTATATAGCTCGTGACGCGAACAGCGGAATTGGGTCACAGAATGTGGAGATGCGGTCCATGTTAAAAAAGGACAAATTGTGCAAAATGTCATGGCAGCCATTCACAGTGACTTGCATAAGGGCTATTATTTACTACTATCTCAGAGATTTCATTCATAAAAGTTTGCCGTGTGCAAAAACTATTCAACTAGGTCAGGGAAAGCTTTAATTAATTAGTCATGTAACAAAGTTGAAAGTTCAATAGTTCCCAAACAGTATTTTCGTAATTAGGGCACGAGTTGCCTTATATAGACTATATAGCAAATATAGGTATAATGGACGTCGTAGATTTGGTAAACAGAAAAGCCATATATTAATACATTATATTAAATTTACTGATAGAAATAATGCATAGTTAGATAAGCTACAATTTATCTATAATTGTTAACATTATTGAACTTATTTTTTTAATACAGCATTAGTTCTGAAAATAAAATTATCATTAAAACAAGTTATATAGCTCGTGACGCGAACAGTGGAATTGGGTCACAGAATGTGGAGATGCCGTCCATGTTAAAAAAGGACAAATTAAGTCGTACTTTAAAAATTCATAACTTTAAAACTACAACAGCTAAAAATATGATTTTGGTGTTATAATTCTTTTAAAAATTAGCTCTATTCAACTATGTCATTGGTTTATTTTTTTTTTTAAAGTTTTAATTTTGTTATCAAAGTATCTGAAGGTAGGCCTAAGTAAAAAGTCCAGTCATTTGAACTGTTGAGTTTATTATTTAGTATTTATTTAGGCCTATGCCTATATAGGCTAATTACTATATATTATTAGATTAGTCAAATGAGTGATTTATTAATATTACTAATATTAGTATTAATTATTTAATAATTGTCAGTAGATTTTCGCCAAGTGAAAGTGGATCAGCCCAAAGCTGATTTTTATTATTATTAGTAAGTAATATTAGTGTGTTTCGCATTTATTATTTTTTTTTAAATAACCTTTTTGATGTATTTTTGAGCGTCCTATAATATTTTATGAATAATGTGTGCTAAGAGGATTTTTTAATAATTGCAATAAAATCTCACTTTAATCCAACTTGTCTCCAGAAGGCAGTCATTTTTGTTATTTTAGCGAAATCAGTGCAGTGTACTAAGTTGCGAGGGCACCTTCAAAGGAAGAGAATAAACGGATGTTGAGATTTATTGTCTCCCCGCATTAATTAAAAATAATAACTTTTAAAAAAAATATTAAAACAAAGAATTAAACATTTTTTTTTTTAAATGACAAACTAATTAAATTTACTATGACCTTAATTTAATTATTTAAAAAATTAAATTGCTTATTTTTTTAGCTACCTTTTACGGTCCGAATTTGACGGTATCATAAAAATATGTAAAGTAAAATGGATACGCGCATCCACTTCGCTATTAATTAGGCTTATTAGGCCCCTAACGGCTAGCCTAACGACTTAGCTACGACAACACACTAATTAAAGTAATTAAATTAGAATTAGTTAGACTAGTCTGTCTATCCTTTACTACCTTATTTTAAAACAATAAAACGAGGGGGGGGGGCATATTATTGTGTATACGGGGGTGTTGATTTTTGGATATTTCAGGTACAGATGCATATGGTGGGGTGGGGCCCTTGAGTCTTGAGAGCTCATTAAAAATTTGACTATTTTGGCGCACGTCATCATAATTAATTATATATATGGTTGGCCCCTTGCCTTACACTACAGTATTTTTACAGAGTTATTAATTTATGGTTAAATTAAAGACGTTCTTATAAATTATTATAATTAATCCACATCCCTTTGTTTTCGGTACCGGGTAGTTTAATTTTAAGCTTGTCATTGTCACTTAAGCTGGAGCCTATTTTATAAGTGAAGCACTGCATTCAATCAAGCATTGTTAAGCTATGTGAATGAAATAGTACCGTAGACTAATTGAACTATGAAGCTTCAACATACCTTGTGTTAATATTTATTTTAAGTTTAAGCCTATTTTATTAATAATGTATAGCATTCTCAACAGTTTTGAATTTTTTCATTATAATCCTAAACTAAAATGTACAAATTTAATAAAAAAGCATTTGAGTTTGAGGAGAAATCACTAATGCTGATATGTCTCCTTTGATTCATTTAAAGTCAAACGATTTTAAAAAAAACAAAAACAAAAACTCTTATTTTCTAGAGACAATGCATAATCATAAACAGAACGGTAACGTGATTTATAACTGAAAACAATAAAAATAGGCATTGAAAAACCAAGTTAACCTTATTTTCCACAATGGAAAAGTAAATTATCAATAATTAATTAAATATATTCCCAAATTTAACAACTGTTTTACTCTGAACTCATTTGGTAAGCTATTTATTAAAGACCTTAATCTTATACAATATTAACTATCTGTCTCAAACTATCTGGGCCTGGACTGTGTGTAAAAAAACAACTTTCCAGAATAAACCTTAGTTCGGTTTATTAAAGACCTTAATCTTATACAATATTAACCGAACTAAGGTTTATTCTGGAAAGTTTTTTTTTTACACACAGTCCAGGCCCAGATAGTTTGAGACATAGGCCTGTCAGTCTTTTAACAATATTCTTACACCATACATGTGGCTCTTTATTAATTAATATTATAATATAATATTCGCTTCCCCAAAAATAATTTTTTTAAAACTTGAGTTCACAAGTTAGGCATGACAGACTTTTTTTCACTCAGTAGGCCTACTATTAATATATAACATGTGAAATTGGAGGGAGGGCCATTTTGAAAGGAGGTTGCAAAAAAAAAAAATAGCGACTCAGTATAATAGGGCTGTTAACAAAATCTTTAAGTAGAGACAATAAAATAATTCTTAAATTGAATACCGGTAAACCATAAATTTGTCTATTTGAATTGTATTTGTAAACCAGTACAGATGATTACGTAAAATTAATATCCATATTCATATCAATTTAAAATATCATAATTTAATAAAGTCAACAATAATCAAATTTATTTGAAATGATTTATCAACAATTCTGGCAAGGATTAGAGCAAGTCTTGCTGTTATTCCAGTATAACATCACCTTCTCGGGAGTGAGCTCTGGCACTGAATATACATTTCTATGACAAGACATTCCACACTGCCACCTATCATCTTGAACATGGTCAATATTTAAACCAGATAGCCAGATGCCCATAGAGACATCTTCACCTTGAAATCTTTTAAGCATATTTTTGTTTTTAACCAACCATTCATTAATTCCTTTTGACACAATATTTCCAGACCCACATGCAAACCGTGGGTAGACAGTGTTAGAATAATCCAGCTCACGCCATTTACCATGTTGTTCTACAAGCCAATGGATCCTAAAATTGCCCCACCACCTCAAAGTCTTAACATCTAAATCAACAAGTGATGAAATAATATTTTCCAAATTAATGAAACAGTCATCATCCGTCTTTAAAATAAAACTCGCATCATAATTGTTTCTAAACCAATCATGACACAAAAGAATCTTCTCTGGTAGACTTCGGTAAACATCTGTAACATCCATCATGATCATATCTTGATGTAATAATTGTTCTTCTTGAAGATGGATGGTCTCTAAATTTGTTTTCTTTTGCCAAGCCAAATCTCTTTCAGAACTAAGCTCCAAATGTTGTCTTAAACCATCAGTGTCAAGGGTAGAAAACATGAACGAAAGTGATGGAACATGTTTACTTAACATCAGAGTACCATCTTCATTTAGAGGTTTTAATATCACTATTTCATTGTGACTATCTGTCACATCCCAGTTCATCACTCTTTGTGATGGTAATGTTTGTAGATGGTCAGGAAATGTGGCATCTTCAGGGAGCCTAAGTTCAACCTCAAACTCATATCCCTTGGGTAAATGCATTTCTTGGATTGGACGGTACAAATATCCATCAACTCTATGAACATTAAGGGATGTGATGATATGGGCATGAGCAATTTCTTCATTGGAGATGACATCATATACAACGATATCAACATGAGAACTAGCATTGGCTTGTAAGAAAGGAAGTATGAAAAATTCTGCCACACCAAGTCTCAATAAAGTAATGTCATGCATAACTTTTACATAAAATTTCTGGGCAACTTTGTACATGTGAGGACTGCTTGCTGATTTCAATGAGAATGCTTGAAGGACTGGTTTGTCAGGTATTGATGGTGTCCAGCGCTCACAGTCATAATGGTCTATTCTGTTCTCAGGATGGACAGAACAAGCTACCTTTCCTACCACAAACTTTGCAACCATATTCTTGTTTTGGGTGGACCTAATGGTATGCATGTCTTTGAGCCATGATTTTCTTATTGCACTGCGATGCTCAAAATTATTTCTAGCAGAAAGAATACAAATCGCTAAATCTACAGTCTCCTTGAATGAAACATGAATGTAAGTCAGGAAGATGGCTACAGCACAGCAAACAACCTCTTTTATGTACATTTTTTTGTATATTTTCATTAAACCAATGATTAAGTTACTTTGTTTTTAAAAAATATTTTTTAATGTAATCATATTTCATGGTTCTGGGTTGTAAGAGTAGATCTAATTAATTTCAATAAATGACTATCATTTATTTTTTCTGAAGCTTAACTAAGGTAACTTCTTTCAGGTAAATTCTGACTTCATTCCTGAGAGTTTTTTTGTGACTGTGTGTCTAATTCAAAGTTTTAAATTTGTACAGTCACAAATTCTCATTCTTGTGTGTCATCCAAGCCTAATGGTATTTAAAGTTCTGCCTGGTTTAACAAGTAAACAAGCCTAGAAAAAAATAGAAAAAAGAAACGAGATTTAAATATATTCATTAATTCAATTTCAATTAAATAATCAAATTTTAAAGAATTAATGATTCTTAAACATAGTTAAATAGTTGGGTAATCTACCACTTGAGCCAATAGTAGATTACCAATAGTTGTGTTATAGTTGAGGCTTAATTTTGTATGCATTATGCATGCTGAGATACTTTATTAATAAGACTACTTTTACATAAAAGTAGAATTTATTACTGTATAAATCAATCACAGCAGGACCATGGGCACTCGCAGGTAGGGGCAAGGTGGGGCATTTGCCCCCCCCCCTCTGGATTGAATGGATAAAACATTTTTAGACAAAAATAGACCAAAAATGTATTAAAGTAAAGAGAAAATAAAGAGAAAGTAACTAAGCTGATGTCCTTTCCGTTCGTTCACCATACAAATACGCTACAGTAAATTAAAACTACATTAAACATTGCTACAAATTTGTTGCCCCCCCCCCCCTGGAAAGTTAATCAACTTTTTTTGCCCCCCCCCCCTAGAAAGTTTTCTGCGGGCGCCCATGACATGTATTTGAATCTCTGCCTCTAATCATAATGAAGGTACTAAAGTCTAAACTATGACTTTAAATTAGTTAATAGTAACTTAGTAGTTATAATATTAACTTATTAATTATAAAAATTACTAAATTAATAATACTATATTTTGGGGCTACAGACTAATATTTAAAATAAAAATAAAATGGGCTTGCCACTTTGGATGCTGAATTTTGAAACTGAAATAAATTCAACAACAGACTACTTTGAAAACAGGTTGCCAGGTTGCACAAAACCTAAAAATGGCATGGACCCTTCAAAATTTATTTTTTTACTGCCGAGCATAGTACTAATACTACTAAATACTTAGTTACTATAAATAGACTAGTGCCCACTGTTTTTTTATTTTTTAAATTCGTTTTTCTTAATCTTATAAACATAGTCTAAATCTAGTTCTTGTGGGCTACTCTTTTATTGCTCTCATTTAACTGTATTAACTAAATGAAAAGATAACTTAAATAGCTTAAAATTAGAACTGCCTTATTTTTGGTTAGATGTGTTCCTTAACTAAAGAATTTAAAGGCATGAAATTTGAAATGGTAATGGCCAATATGGCTAATGGTATTACCTTTTTGGTAAGTCTAAGTTTAGAACCTTGAGAATCGGTTACAAAAACACCAAGATAACAGTTCTAACTGGCTTGGCTCAAAAGTTATCAATTTAGCAACCAATTGTCTTGAGCGTCGGTTACGATAATATGTTGTTCCAGTTTGAAATGATATTTATTGTTTATTTTTTTATTGATCCAAATAAATGTAAATGGTTTTGTTACATTGTACTTGTACTTATTCATGTCAGCACAAAAGTAAAATAAATCAATTTTTAAAATAGAAAATTTAAAACAATAAATGTAAGAAAACAGAGTTTGAGTTTATAATCATCGCCACGAAAACGATTGTGGGACATGAACTCATGCAAATGTAAAGGGAAAAGATCACGGATTGTGCCAAACAGTCTTTCCAGTTTGCGCGCATCCACATATTTTCAAAAGTCTCTGTGACTTTGTGTGGACACCAGAGTCATTTGGATTTTTTTTTTAATTGTTGATGAACATTCCGTGTCTAATCTGGTTTATGTTTGCACAAGCCGCCCATTTGTCTGGCACAATAGGGGAGCCTGGAAGGATATAGGATAGCTCTCTATTTACTCATGTAATGTGATGGCACTCCGGTCTGCCACGAGAAACAGCGCCCAGTCCCCACTGTACTATTAGCGGACATAAAATAAAAAATAATCGTTTAGATAGCACGTCAAACCAAAACAACATTTTTTTTTTCATTACCTGCGCTGAAAAGGTAGATTCCCTTTATTTTTTGTGTTTAAAAAACAACACTTTTTTGTTTTACTATGAGTGTTTAGTGTAGGATTATCTCACTTTTGTGTATTCTTGGCAAAAATATTTTAACATAGGCCTTTATAGTAGTCCTACACAACTCAAAATGTGGGGCGGGCCGTAACACCTATATAATTAAAACTTGTGCGGACCGAAAGAAAATAGGGTGGGGGGGGGGCTATTAATAAAATAATAATAAAAAAGAATATTTCGTTACTTCGCAGGCCGCATGTTGTGCAGGCCTGCTTTATAAAATTTATAGTATTCTAGCGGTGGAAAAGTAGTTGAATACCGTAATGGTTCCGAGTAAAGAATGAAGACCGCACTTATTCACATAATGTCAGTTTAAACTCTGGATGCAGTGTGCAATTGGCATGTTGTAAAATAAAATAACATATAAAAGAATAAGCTATGATGACCGTAATTCCAAAGAACCGAAAATATTTAGATACGTTTTGATTCTTAAAAAACAATCATAGTTATTTTCTATTTGTAGCCGAGTGGTGACGTAGCGTACAGTTTAAATAAAATCACAATAAAACAATCAGGTCTGAGAACTATAGCTTTTTAATGTAAGGTACAATCCGTTGACAGAGCCGACAGTAAAACTCTCACACATGCCGCCGACCCGACGTATCCGTTCCACACCACAATCTCAAAAATGTACACACCTCAAGTCCATGTTCGCCCCCTCCCCCCCAAACAGTCACAGGGAACCCGCGTCCCGAGCTGACCATGGGTCAACCCCGGGGCAGGGATGGTTATTCCCGCGTGTAAATAACCAACATAAAATTTAAGGCCAGTACACAGCTGTGGGTTACTTTAAATGACCATGGATGTGTACGTGCTTGTGGTTACCACAGCAGTCACACTATGACTATGAGAGTGGATTCTCTTATTCCTATCTGTTGCATACTGCCGCATATAAAATATTACCTATAAGCCATAAGCCATAAGCACTGTTGCAAATAGTGGCGCATTGCCACATCTTATTTTCCGGAAAATGTAATAAATTTAAATGCGCAAAAGATAACATAAATACGCTGTAAAAGTTTAGGTATTATTATTATAAATTACAAATACATTTAGAGTAACAACTAAGGAACTATTTTAAGCATTTTATCCGAATTAAAAAGTTATGAAAACAATATTATTTTTTTAAAATTGTGATCTAAGAATTACACCGGAAAACCCAAACATCAGTTGTTTTTAGTGCGTTTTTAGTGCGTATCTCTTCTTCTTGTTCTATATATTAAGTGCCCACGATCAATTGATTGATCATTTTGGCATGTAGAGGGGATTTGCAATGGTTCTGTGCCTGGTGTTGATGAGGATATTTCACTGATTGAAAGTGCTACTTTGTGAGGGACGAGTTTCTGTTTAATACTGGAACAGTGGACCAGCCCATTATTTATCCTATACATTATGGAGAGCCTGGATTGTCGTCGTCGTTCCTCCAATGGTGACCAGCCTAGTGTTTCCAGTATGCTGCCAACACTAGAGGTATTCCTGTAGCGGTTCAGGACAAAGCGTGCTGCCCGTCGCTGGACCGTCTCCAACCTGTCAATGCTCTTCTGGGTCTATGGTTTCCAGACTGAAGATGCATAATCTAAAACTGGATGGACAAAGGCTTTATAGGCTCTTTCTTTCACACAGGAGTTGCCGATCTTTAGATTACGTCTTAAGAACCCCGGGGTCTTGTTTGCCTGGTTGCACACATTGTTAATATGCTCGTCCCAGCGGACCTCTCTTTGAATGGTAACACCCAGGTAATTTACGGAGGAAACTGGTTCAAGTATATGGCCTTGCAGTTCGTATTGGTAGTGTAGAGGAGTACAACTTCTAAGAGACTGACAGTGTTTGGCACTTGGCAGGGTGAAATACTATTTCCCAGCTCATCTCCCACTCAGCTAACCGATTGAGATCCTGTTGTAGCTGTCCCGTTCAGATCTGTTGGCGATCGTCCTATATACCGCTATGTCACCTGCGAACAGTCTTGCTTGGGATGTCAGTTTCTCGGGTAGGTCATCAATGTATGCTAGGGACAAACAGGGGCTTAGCAATGATCCCTGAGGGACCCCTGACTTCACACCGACAAAGGAGGAGCTTATACCATCCACCACTACTTCTTGGCATCGGTTGCTGAGGAAGCTAGAGATCCATGTTTTAGTAATGCTTTGGATCCCATATCTCTGAATTTTGTCTAGATCAAACTATGATCGACACGGTCAAATGATGCGAATTTTGCGAAATAAAATTAAAATTTATTTGTTCTAAATAAACACGCAAATGACGTCATAGCACGAATCGCCTATGTTAGTCAAAACTCTAGTTTCTTTGATTTAATAACCCCGCGTTAAAAAAACTGGTAATGTATTTTCCCCTTCTTAAAAGTAAAATTAATAAATATAATTGATAGCCTTTTTAGAAAATTTGAATAAAACACACACACACACATTTTAGCTTTGTATTTTTAACATTTTATAAGTTTTTATTTTTTAATTTGAAAAATATAATTTTATTGAATTTATAACCTAGTAAAAACGTTCCCTTTAAATATATTTCTAATAAGAAAATGCCGTTTAAGTCAATCAGTGCAGCGAAAATCTATAGCCAAATAGCATTCACTAATCCACTTATAACTCATCTAAATAAGCAAAAAAACCATATGAAATGCAAAATATCAGGCCCGTTCTTAGGCATACGCTGACTACGCATCCGCGTAGGGCCCCGAACGTGAGGGAGCCCCCATGAGGCGCCCTCGATCCCCCGTTTTGTTAAAAACTGATACTGCAGCCGTCTGTGTCACTTACGTTACCTCTCTCATCCTGAAATTTATCATTCTGAGTTGAATTCGGAGGCAGGGGAAGGGAAGCAGCAGGGGGGAGCTTTGGGGTGGCAGACAAGAAATCGGGGGCTTGGCCGTGGAATTGGGAAAGAGGAAACATTGATGAAGGCAGAATGGAGGTGCCGCAGTGGTGGGTGGTGTTTTCTCCTCAGCTCGAAGGAGCTCCACCCCCGGACCCCCCCCCCTTTCAGAGGCCCCCAACCTACGCTACATGCTTAGGGCCCCAAACTCCTAAGAACGGCTCTGAAAATATGTTAGTTTAGGTATGGAAGGGACTACAATTCGGTGGAAGATTATAATAATTTTATTTTAAAATGGTTGGGGGGGGGGGTGGGAGTTGGTCATTTTGCCCCAGGCAGCACAAGATACGTCTCAAAATAAAGTTAATGAATTTGATAAATAATTAACCTTCTTGTGTACATACATTTCGGAGGTAGGAAATAGAATGTGTAAATTTTTTACGTGGATGACAATATATTTAAATCCTATGGTATTACATTTTGGGAAAAAGAGATGTTACGTTCTATTTTAAAAATATTGGTATGTTCATTTTGCCCCGGGCAGCACAAGATACGTCTCAAAATAAAGGAATGAATTTGAATTAATTTCTTGGGTACATACATATCATAGGTAGGAAATAAGATGTGTACATTTTTACGTGGATGATAATATATTTAAATCCTATGGTATCACATTTGTAAAAAGAAAAAAAAAAGTTGCTACATATTCCTTGTATAAATAATAATATGGGTATGTTTATTTTTCCCCAGGCAGCACAAGATACGTCTCAAAATAAAGGAATGAATTTGAATTTATAGGTAGGATATAGGATGTGTACATTTTTACGTGGATGACAATATATTTAAATCCTATGGTATTACATTTGTGAAAAAAGAGATAACACATTCTCTTTTTACAAATAAATCTATCTTTACCAACTAAGAAAATCAATGGCGTTAACAAAACATGGGTACATTTATATAAGTATACCCATGAATATCAAAACCCAGTCATTTTATACACTTGAAAATTTAATTTTGAAAAAAAGAGATGGGTTAATATTTTCTTTTTTTTTTTTAAATGAAAATATATCTTTGTTTTTACTTTTCGAAAAGTAAAGTGGCTGTGTATTTTTATGAGATTAAAAATTAAAAAAAAAAACATTTAAGTCTGTTATAGACGGGAAAAACAGTTGCAAGATTCTTTTTAGATAAAATAATTCTTTGTTTTACGATTTTTTGAAAAGTGTGTTTAAATATTTGATGAAGATATCAATATATCAAATTCCTTTAATATAAA